AGTAATCTGCTATGTCATTATACAGAATGTTGATCTTTCATCACATTTCAAATCTCAAAAAAGAAAAAGAAAAAAAAGACACGATTTAATTTGTTTGCCAAATACAAAATATAATGCCTGTAGCAACAAAGATGAAGAATGATGGAGAAAAAAAAAAGAAATTCCTTCAGATTAACTAAATTAAGTACAACTGTGATGACAAATGGTGTTTAAATGGTGAGCCATATATTTAGTGGATTAACTAAATAATCTTAAATCGTGAAAATATAATACTGCTTATTCTGCGGAACTGATGCCATCTAAGGTAATGCTTTTTACATTTCCACCTTGTACCTTTGGGAGCTTGTACTTGAGGACTAAAATAGATGTAAAGACTCATTTACCGCAAATTCCATATAGGAGCCAGCAACAGAGTTAAAGGTGAAGGTGTGATCTTGAGTATCTTGAGACCTTAGTGTGCCACTTGGAGTGTTTCTAAGGTGGGAGATGTTTTCCTTGTTTCGATCTAGTGCACGAGGAGTCTTTCCATTTCCAGGAGTTCGCAGGCCAAGACCCTACAACAAGACCAGCTGGAATGATGATGTGTTTTTTTTTATGTCAACTCTGTCCTTTTAATTCCAGACTAGGCCCAAAAAGAGTGTGGGGGGGAAAAAAGAGGGAAAAAAGTGCAGACCCCAAAGTGCAGATTTTCATTTCAACCCATTTTCAGGAAGTGTACAGTTGCCACATCAAAAAAATACAAGTGCAGCTTTTGGAAAAATATTCCAAGAACTTTTAAAATCATATAATTGACAATCATAAGCAGTAATAAAAAAGAAATTGAATTTTAAACTGCACTGATATATCATCCATATTCAAGTTTTACATAAATGGAGATAATATCCACCCAATGAATAGACCCAGAAAAAGTAGGTTCAGATATATTTACACTTTATGGTTTGCCAATTCTTCAGACACAATGCATATTGTTGGTAAATGAGGAGGGAGGGTGACAGTGAACATACCTTGCTGGCAGACAGAGGTGGTTTCTGGATAGAGGAATGACACATGGTCCCACCAAGGCCTGAACTGAGAAAGCTGGAGGGAGTGGAGATGGTCGACATGCCCCTGAGCTAAGACGAGAGAGGTGGGTCAGCTTTTTGTTCACTCACTCAGCGATGTTGCACATTCAGCAGCTCATACAACAAATCAGCAGTGTCTTACCTTTTTTACTTTTCCAGGCGTGGGAGTCCCTGGCACCCGCCTCTTGGACGGTGTCCTCACTGATGTTCCATACAACATGTCCTCCTGAGTCTGTTTAGTTTTCTTTAGTTGCTATAAAAAAATAAAAAATCATATTCACAACACTTTTGTGACAAGCAAATTTAAGAATTACGCAATATTATGACTTACCCTCTCCAGTTTCTCCTTCTCCTTTTCCTCGAGGTGGTGAGCCCACTGCTGCTGCACATACTCAAGAAATTCCTGACCGTTCACCAGGAACTCTCTGCCATGCTCCTGCTCCCACTCATCGATTTGGGCCTTCAGACTCTTTTCCAGCTGACAAAAAAATAAAATAAATAAAAGATAGCTTATTTAATGCAGTTGCCGTGTTAACACAGAAAATAAGAGTCCAAGTTCTAAATACAGTTCCTTTGCATAATCTGGTAAACTAAATACACAGAACTACAGACTGAAATACATATTTTAACACCACCTGTTGGCACAAACTAGTAATGCGCCAACAATCTCTGCTGTTTCTACTCCATTACTTAGCTCATTTGTTGTATTGCCAAACAGCTTCTCTGAAGGCAGAACACATGTTATAAAGGCAATTCTTGGAATTTCTTACCTTAGGCAAACTTTTCTGCAGGTCAGATCTCTGCTTCTCCTCTTTCAGAAGGTTCCCACCTCTGTTGTTGAACCTTGTAGGGTCATTTGCTTTTTTCTGAGATGGGCACACACACATTAGTAAAATGTTTTTAAAAGCGTCTCAGCTACATTTGAGAGGACAGTACTACTCACGTCAAGTTCCATGAACAAGGTCCAGTTCTCCTGCCATTTTGTGACTCCCTCAAAGAGCTCTCTGTGATCCTCATAATACTTCTTCAGGATGCTGACCTCTGCCTCGTGCAGGTTAAGAAGATCCTCAGTGAAATCATCTGTGTTGAGAAAAAAATGCATGGAAACCCACAAAACCCCTTTGAGATAATCACCTGCATATATTCAGTGCATGGGCTCTGTAACTGGACAACTGCAACTCACCTTCACGATATGCAACAAAAGTCTGCTGCTGTTCTTGGCTGTAGAAGCATCTCTCCCAGAAAAGGGCAATCTCAGCTCTGATGGACTCTATGACACTTTTCATGCTCTGCATTTTCAGCACCTCCAGACGCTGGACCTCAGCCTGGAGCTGGGAACACAAAACGTGTGAAACATCACATACAGCTTTGCATGAAACCACTTAACAATGGGTATAACCACATGAGGTAAGATTTCTTACTGCCTCAATGTTCTTCTTCTTTGACTTGAGCATATGCTCCGAGAGTAGCCCCCTCTCCTCTTGGGGAATCTGAAGTCTTTCCCAAAGCTCCTGGATCTTAGTGCGCAAAGCTGAACAACGGAGCTCATTCTGAGCCCTTCGCTCTTTTAACTGGAAGGAAATCATACATCCATGTTAATATGATGTAATGTGAGATATTTTAGAATAGCAAACCATAGCATCTGATAAACAAATACCACAAAGTTACCTGACTGAGGAGCATATTCAGAGCAGCAATGTTGTCAGTGGACAGACAAAATGCCTCCTCATCTTCACACATCACATCCATCTCAAAACTGGTCTCTGGGCTGTGCTCCAGATCACCCATGCATACGATAATGTCCTTCTTGATGCTTACAAATTCCTCACGACGATGCTCCTACAAAAGACAGATATAAGTAAGACATGTTACAAAATACTTTTGGAAAGGTAAGTGAGTTAAGAAAGAAATGAGAAAAAAAGGCTGTAAACCTTCTCTTTGGTCAGATCACTAAGGTAGGCCTGATAGGACTCCAGCTGCTTCAGTGACGGGATGGCGTCGTGGTCAATGCAGAAAGGCGTGGTGCACATAATGTCACACAGCTCACGGTCTTTGACAATGAGGCCTTTCAGCTCATCCATTCTTTGCTTCTTGTGCTCCTTCATCACCTCCAGACGTGTGCGGCTGTTCTTCTCCATCTGCAACATAGTGCAGCCATCCTCCTCCTACAGAGAAATCCAGAGTTAGTCCACACGTGTCTGCTGTTTTCTCAGTTGAAAGTAAAGTAATAACAACACATGTCCTGAACTGTGACTGTACCTCGAAGGGGGGCAGCTGAAGTTCAGAGCACAAATTGAAAAGTTCCTTTCGACAGGCCTCGATGCTTTTCACTAATCTCTTTTTGAGCTCTTCCTCCTCGGCGATCATCAGGTCCAGCAAACCCTGCAGGACAAGGGGCCAGTTGTTAAGTGTGTAAGGTCAGCGATGAGACTTTGCTTGAATTTGTGATGCTCACTTTAATGTGCTTGTGGACGTCATTGGTTCTCTGCAGACGCTGCTCTTCTGGAATACCGATTTCCTCCCAGATATCCTGCAGCCTGACCAGGGCTCTGTTGAGGTAAGCAACAGACTCTGCTGCGTGGACTTCACTGGAACAGAAACTGAGTGTTTAACTGGGTCACAGCACCTGTTACCGATCAAACTAGTCCGGTGTCGGCGGTAATGGAGGTGTTAACCTGAGGCAGCAGGTGTGTTTATTAGCAGAGATGCTACTGTAGCTAGCTGGCGTCGCACACACAGCTATAACATTGGCTGAAAGTTAAATATCACTAGTTTTATAAAAAAAATAAAGACCACTGCCATTAACGATGAGTCATTTGCTACAGACAGACAGGGAATCCCCCCCCTCGCGTGTGAGCTTTGTCCGTTAGCTTCACCCAAAAGCAAAGTGGCTAACCAGGAAACAGATTTGCAAACGGAACAAACCATCGTTAACGTGAACATTCGAAGCTCCGGCGACTGAATGTGTTAGATACTAACCTGACTCTCATGTTGCCACCGCGGGAAGAAACGATCCGGCCAGAAAAACACGGTCTTCTTCACGGGGAAAGCGGCGCTCCGACGGTTGACCGGCTGCCGCTCCGTAAATGTCGATTCACTGGCATTTGAAATTTGCACCGAAACAACGTCTGCGCTCCGATTGGCTGATTGAGCTAACGTCACAGGAAGTCACTCCGAGGGGCGGTACTTGTTCTTGTCCAATAGGAAACAACCGATGAATAAATAAACCGCAGCAACGAGAGACACGATTAGTGAGTGAGTTTCTGTTGAGCTGTGCTTTGTTTACTCTAATACATACACGTGGATCCTCTCTGATCTCTGATCATATTATATATGATCTTGTTAATTCACTTATAGCAACACAGAGACTATTGTGCTTCTCTGTTCCTTTTAACAACAATGAAGCTACAACTTTTAACTAAATAATAACAATAATTCAAATTATAAAAGGCTTGACTAAAAAACTAAAAGTCACACTAAAGAATAATAATACATTTCCATATATTATAAATCGTATGTTTTACAAATTTGACAAAATTACTGGCTGCAAATCCTAGAAAAATTAAGATTATTACATTCTAAATGTAAAAATATTGTCCCTCTGTGTTCCTTTTAACAACAATGAAACTATAACTTTAACTTTTGGGACTGTGCCTTTTTGTATGACCTTAACAAGCTGAAACAGAGAATAAATTTACTCAACTCAGATTTAATCATCTCAAGCACACAATGCATTTTTATTGATGTTGGAATGGTTGTTTTAAGTTCCATCACGCTAAATAATAACAACATAGAATTATAATACAATGTATTTGAATAACTGTTCAAGGAACTCAAACACTTGATTAATAAGAATAAGTAAAATACACACTATAGAATAATAATACATTTCTCTATATTAAAAATCATATATATTACAAACTTTACAAAATACACACAATTCCTGGTTAGCAAATTCTAGAATAATTAAGATGAGTATTTTCTACTGTATGTTGTAGAATTATTCTACTCAAGTTACATAAGCCATCACTATTGTAAGGTAATTAAATGAAATAAAATTTAGCTTTATCTTAAATCATGAGTAGGAGAGTGACTGAAATACTAATAATAGTATAAAGTATTGTTGTAGTTGCATTAGTGCAAATATGGCTGGGGATAGTTGGACACCTTCCTGTCAGATGAGAAACATCTATCAGAACTAAACATCTATATGGTTCATTCTGTTATAAAGGTTCTTTATTATTTGGAACAGGTATAGACTAATGTTTTTTGTCTTACTGGGCTGATGTGCCTGTTCATATTTATTATTTAAAAGGCATAAAGCTCTATTGTAAGACACACAGATGACTTCATTATCTTTGATTTTTTTCTCTGTGTCTGTGTGGATAATGTGTTTGAGTTGTGTGTCTGTATTCCATCATCTTTCCAGGTAACACAGCAGAGTTTGTGGTCAACGTCCTGTTGACCATCTTGTCATTGGTACAGATTCACTGCTTCTTTAACAATCTGTTTGTAAATTACGGTCACTTGGTGAAAAATGTATTTCAAATTAAGTTTGTGGTTGAATTTTTGATTCACTCTCTTTGATATTTTATTCTGGAGCTCTTGCTGATGTGTTAGAAACATTTATTTATCAGATTTGATAATTAATTCTATGTCTGTCTTCAATCTATGAATTAAATGAACTTATCAGGTGGGTACACTGTGGGCCAGAATGCATTTTGTCTTAGTTTGAAGGTGGATTCAAATCATTTGAGTAACATAGCATTTATTTACACACATTCATAAAAAACATGGTCATGATTAGATTTTTGTGTTTTTAAGTGATTTTTTCTTTGGTACCTGTCCCAGATTTTTAATCATCATTTAATCCTCGTGCACAGACAAAAGAACTTAATTTGCACCTAAAAGCGATTTACATCAAAGTTTGCAAATAGAGGAAGTGCACTTTTATCACAAATAAATAAGTGAGTAAACTTGGTAGAACAACAAAATAAAACGCAAATCTACAGGCAAATTCAATCTGGGCTAAGTTAGTGATTTCAGCATGGTAATAAAATGCTGGTTCTGTTCTCTCATCAATGAGGGTATTGACGTAAAAAGAGGTTCCTCAGCACTTCCTCACTGAACTGATAGGTTAGCTTCTTCTTTACTTTTTTAATCTCTCCAGTTTTACCATAGTTCCTCAGAGCTCGAGCCATTTTTTGGTAGGTCATTTTCTTGCGGTTTCCTTTCTGAAGGCCCCAGTGGCTGGCCAGAGCCTCTTTGTGTTTGGTGGAGAACTGGAAGATGCCCTTGTCCTGGTCCACCCACCAGATACTGTCATTCATTTCACCATTCCGTAGCAAGTCCAGGAGGAACTGGTACAGGCGGATTTTCTTCTTATCTTGGGTAGAAAATATAAGACCTTTTAAAACTTTTAATCAGTTTTAATTGAATCATCAATGTGCCTTATATATATATACATTGAGATTTGCAGTCAATAGATAATTTGCAGTGCACTCACTGTTGTCTTTCCTGAAGGAAGAGCGGTTGTGGTCTTCATATTCATCTTCCCCCTCTGAAACCTCGAGCAGGGGACTGACTCCTCTCTGTTCCTCCTCTGAGTAGTAATGGCCTGGTGAGGCTGAGGGTTGGTACTGGTAGCACAGGGATGGTGTGTAATACGGGATCTGTAGGAGAATTCAATGCATGACATGTTATGTTCGTGTACAAATGTAAATCTATACATACCCGGTTTTATTTCAACATATGTATATCTTTTATTTCATTTTAGTCTTACTTGATTTTTATATTGCTATGTTTATACCTGCTTCTGCTCTTTCACCTCTTTCTCAGGAGCTCGGTGACATTTGAATTTCCCTACAGGGATTAATAAAGTATTTCTGATTCTGATTCAAAATTATGCAGATACAAGAGAGAGCTGCAACTGTTTTGATTTTGCAATTATTCACCATCTGACATTTTAAAGTGAACACTGTCATTGTGGTAAAAGAGGAAGTAGCTCTGCCAAAATAGATCTCAACGCTCAGAGAGACCATGTGATGTAAATGGCATTTCAGTGGAAACATCCCCAACTGTCCACATCATGTACTGTACAAGTGAAGATTTAAAATGTAAAAATGTTTATTTTTGATTGGATTAACAACAGAGCACTATTGACCGGCATACATTTTAGCACTTGAGTTGTCATTGGCATTTTCTTTCTTTTCTTTTTTTTTTTTTAGAAAAAAATCTAAAATCCTCAGGATTTGTACTGTGACTGTAAATATTTGCTGTTTTTATTTGTCTTCTATGATGCTGCTCTGAAAAATTGCAAATTTCACTATGGAGCAAAGGTTACGTCCAAGTAGCAGCTTACCTAACAATAATTAAAACAATACATTTAACTCATTACTGTACATTTATGGACTAAATCTGAATTATAAAATTCACATTTTTGACATGATGATTTTGAATCACTGCTGTATATTAATAATCTGACCTTCTATTGAATTTAGTGGTGGATTTGAATGGGTGTGTGTATAATCTGTATTTCAAATAACATATGTAGATTGTGTCTTTCTGTACTTTATTTCCACACACATGAACTGACCTGTGGTGACACAGAGAGTGGAGTGAGTGGAGGCTCCAGGTGAAGCGGCAGACACTCGTTGCTGAAGCGGTAGGGTTGTATGTGTTGTTGAGGGGTCACAGACTGAAGCTCTGTGAGCTGATTCACTGGTGAACTCTCCAGGTCCAGCAGCTGGACCCGCTCAGAGTGGAAGGTCCATCTGTGGTCTGAAAATTGATGGTTGTTTAGTTCTCAGTCCTGTCGTGAATATTATTTTCTCAAAAGTTAAATCCAATTTTCTCACCTTCATAAATCTCCCCGACATTAGTGAGGTAAGGGTACAGCTCTGCAGATGGACGGAAATTCTCCGACTCATTTGGAATAATTGCCTCTGAGGGCTTTGGAAGAGAAAAAAAACTGGTTTTGTCACAGAGAGAGTTGAAATCTTAAAATTAATCACCAGAATTCCGGTAAATGTAATATATCTTATTCAACAAAGGAAAGTGTTATAAAACCTTTGAATAAACATCCTCTCAATGTCACAAACTATGACCTGAGACTGAAATACCAGATTTACTCCCTGAAAGAGTCAAACTTGAAATAAATAAAGCAGCAATACTTACAGATGACATGACATAGCCGTCCATCATGTAAACAAGGCAGCATGAGAACCTTTGTCCTTAAAGCTGGTGATGGATGTCAACTGATTTTTGTTGCCACACTGACAAACATGCAATGTTGCTGAGCCCTGACTTCACCAGACAAATGGGAACTGAAAGTGAGAAATAAGTTGGACCCTATATGGAGTCTGCGTTCCTATCAGCCGATTATCAGATTCATCTAGTTCCTAAAAGCAGAGTGTCGTACAATCCGGTTAAAGTTACAACCATTTCCTGCATATCTAAGAGGAGTAACTATACAATAGGTAATACATGTGTATCTTAATATTCAAGAAAGGTTGATGTTATTGTTCAAGTCATCCCTCCCCCCCAAAAAACAAAAAAATGAAAGTGTTTTTTGTTTTAGTATCCTCTTTGGGTGACATTTTGAAGCATGGATAAACCATTTGAAATCATTTGCTGAAGGAGTCACAGAGTTTGCTATCACGCAAGTTCAGCCATGTTCCTTTGTGTGCTTCAACTTCTCCTCCCCAGATAAACCAGGGTTTTCCTAAGCAAACAGCTGTTGTGAAGAAATATAAGATTTACTTGTTTTTGTTTTACCATCAGTTGCACCAACCCCCCCAGTGTGATTTATTCATGTAGGAATTTTTAAGCGTTTCTACACACAGGAGCTGAAACCAAAAGTGAAGTTTGGAATTAGGCTTGTTCCTCTTTTAGTCTGGCTTTATGGTTTCATTTGAGGAAGTATCAAGCATGAGAATGAAACCAGTGAAAACATGCCTGAAATGTCTGGAGCCACAGTGTCCCTGTGTCTTGTTTGTTTCCACATAGTAAATGTGGAATAAAGATAGATATACAGATGTGTCCTTGTACTTTTGAATTAAATCATAAAAACCTCATCCTTAGATCGGTTTTTTATTGTCTTTATTTTTTGGTGGCGCCACAGTGTTCAGTCCATCCAGCACAGGGATCACAGTTAAGGGGACAGGAGTCCTGCAAGACCTGGATGTACATGTGCCTTGCTAAAGGAGCTGATATAGACCCTCCAACGTTTTTAAGTGTTTCAAAAGTTATAAAAGATACTTCCATTGGTTTTAAAATAATCTTTTTGACCATAAAATGGAAATGCATGTTTCTGACTGAACGAAAATAAGTTAACAAAAAATGGTAACAATTTGCATGGATATTTTTGAGTAGAATGAAATTAATATAAAGAAGGTAGAATAGATTAAATAAAGTAATTCTGACCATTAAATATTACATGGAAATTTAACATTAAACTAAATTAAATTAACAATTTCATTTGAATGAATTATCAGTCTTATTCTTCTTAAAAGTGCAATCTGCTTTAAACATAGCACTGCCATAAATGTCACAAAAAGGAGAAGTATTTGTTTCCAGCACTTATTGATGAAACAAATGGTTGTGTTTGTGGAAATGGTTGGAAAGTGATACACCTTTCTTTCAATTCAACTCACTCAAAATCACAGCAGAAATGATCTCAAGGCACTTTAGTAAGGTCGAGCCCTGACAATATCATAAAGAAACCCATCAGTTCCAACAACGAGCAAATAACACTTAGGTGACTGCAGAGAAAAAACCTAGAAGAAACCTGAGAAAGAGAGGAGAGGTGGGTGAGTGGAGAAAGGAGAGGGGGGGGGGGGGGGCAGAAACAGTAACAATCATATTTAATCTCCATCAGACTGGATACCATGAAAATAACAAGAGGAGTGATATTTGAAGATGTAATGATGTCATTAATGATAGCAGCGCTGATAAACTTCTAAACAATTGACTGTGTGGTCATAATTGTGACATGTTTGGCCTGTTGGGGTAGAAAGAAGGGAATATATATACACATATATGTGTTTGTGTGTGTGTGATGAAGCAGTTTCCTGCTCCATGCAGAGAAAAACGAGGCTCTTAGTTTTATTCACAACACAATAACAGCAGCTGGGGTGAGTCAGGGGATGCTCTTATGTGTTGACAGACTCTGTCAAACTTTGGCAGCTCTCCCTGCACATCATGATCTACAGTGTAGGTGCAGGCACGAGGCTTGTTGTGCTTTCAAATATTTACTCTGTCTCCATCTACTGGAAAGAGAAATGCTGGACTGGCCAGTATCTAGGCTAGACTGAGTTCAGAGGCGCACAGAGGAGACAACCAAAATAGCAAACCCAGGCTCACATTTATTTATTTATCCCCCCAGCCTCAGAATTTTGGCTCTTTTTCAGCGATGGTCGACACATCAGAGAAATGAGGGTTCCGCTGATTCATCTGCGCTTCAGATTTCCTCGTACTGCTCAATCTCCTCCGCAGCTCAGACACTGACAGCAGCAGCCGGGAGCGGGAGTCCTGCTGTCCCGTGGAATTATCGCGGCAACCGAGACACACGCATGGAACATGGCTGCGATGAGGACTTTAACCGCGGCGGGTCTCTTCCTGGCGTTCTGCGCTCTGGGGCTGATCGCAGTGGCGATCGGCACCGACAACTGGTACGAGACGGACGCGAGGAGGCACCGGGAGCGCTGCAAGAATTACTCGAACAAAAGGAACGACCCCGGCTACATCTACATCTCCAACAACAACCTCCCGCTCCGCATGCTGCCCAAGGAGAAGAGCGTGGAGAGGAAGGGCTCCGGCGTCGGCGGTGAGATGCTGCTGCGGGCCAAGCGGCACTTCTTGCCTCCCGCCTCGGCCATGGAGTCCCTCTGCAGTCGGCAATTCAACTCCACCATCACGGGACTGTGGAGAAAGTGCCACCGAGAGGGGTTTGACTTGGAGACGGAGGATTTGATCTTTAAAGGTTTGGATCTGGATGAGTGTGTGTGTCATATGTTGTGTGTTTGTTGTGTATATCTGCGCTGTTGTGCGTCGCTGTCTGTAAATACTTTGTGCATGAATGCGCTATCCAAGGTGCTGATGCTGCGCACAGACCCTGAAGGCCTACGCAGCACAACACGCACCACATCCACTCACAAAGCCCATCGACGTGCTGGGTTGTTTCCCAGCACAAGAAAAGGGGGCAAGCTGTAGTAACAGAAGCCTGGAGATGAGTACAATAAGCTTCTCCACAATGTGGGTGGATGGGTGGGTAGTGGGTGAGTAGAAGGGGGTTGGGTGCTTTTATTTCTTTTGGGAGGGGGTGGCAGCAGAGAGCACTGTGGTATCCTCTTCATCTCATCCCAGTGCTCATATGTGACACATCCTCTCTGCCTTGTTTACATCCACAGGATTGGTTCGGCGCTGCATGCCAATAAAATACTACTACTCATCCTCAGCGCTGCCCAGGAACCTGCCAATCAATCTGACCAAGACAATAAGGCAGGATGAGTGGCACGCGCTCCGTGAGTACCCCCCCAAAAGCCGTTTCATTTTTTTTTTTTTTTTCGCATAACCAGATGAATGAATGCGGAGGGACTTGACATTCTCTCACTTGTGCGCCTTTGCAGACCTCCAGAGGATGACTGCCAGCTTCGTAGGCATGGCCATATCCATCATCCTGTTCGGCTGGGTCATAGGCGTGCTGGGCTGCTGTAAGGAGCATGATCTGATGCAGTATGTCGCTGGACTTCTCTTTCTCATGGGAGGTAAGATGTACTGTACTTTACATAAAGAGCACTACCCCCGAATCACCACAGAGGGGCGCTGAAGTCTTAATCAATGAGAGGGAGGGGAAATGATGCATCGGGGTAATTAACTTGGATTGCTGTCTGACTGGGTGTTTTCTTCCTCTCTGGCAGGGACGTGCTGCATAATCTCTCTTTGCACATGCGTGGCTGGGATCAACTTCGAGCTGTCCCGCTATCCACGCTACATGTTTGGCATACCAGAGGACATCAGCCACGGTTACGGCTGGTCCATGTTCTGTGCGTGGGGAGGACTGGGCCTCACACTGCTGGCTGGTTTTCTGTGCACACTCGCCCCTTCCCTCTACCCTCCACAAACCCCTGTGGTACACAAGCCAAGGCAGGAGAATGGCTGCGTGTGACAGGCCGCCGCACATCTAACAGACACCTGTCTCATCCTGAAACAGTGACGAGCCCTGTTCCAGAGACAGTTTCACCCAGGGACTCAGAGAAGTGGGAGCCTTCACACGGCTTTGACACAGAGAAAGCACAGGACTCTGGCTCTTGCTCTCATGAAAATGAAAAATAAAGAGGTGACATTTGACTGACTGAAGACGATTTCAGGTCCTCTGGTGCTTTTTTTCCGTCCCTCTTCATGAATGAACTGTTCATTGTTATTGCTTGCTCTTGAAGAGAAGAATAGATATACACATTTTTCTTCCTGTTAAATCTGCTAGTTTGAGAAGAAAAGAAAAAAAACAGAAAAAGAAAACACTGGCAGAAGACCCATAGCACAACTTTAAAATCTGTATTGACGATGGATGTGTATTGTCACATTTCAAAGGGCAACTGTGTATCATTATGTACCCATTCAAAACAAGATATGTACATGTACTTTTTAAACTGTATGTATGCAGATGCATTTGTGTTTATTCAAGGAAAAATATGAGCATTAAGACCAAACTGTGTTTGAGGGAAATGTTTTGTTGTTCTTGAGGTCTGACCCCCATCAAAATATTTTTGAAAAATAAAACAGTCATGCAAAACAAGTTTTTTTCTGGTGTAACAAACTGAACAGGCATCATATAAACTTCCTTGTAATGGTATCTCCTCCTGCCTGATTACACAAGTTTATTATTCCGTCAGCAGAGCCCTGCTTGGAGTCAAAATGTGTCTTCCATCATGTTTAAAACAGCAGCTGTTTGTATTTATGACAGTGTTGCAAGCATCAGTTTTATGCAACCACTTCTGAACATTTAAATTTGCAAATGTCAGCGGCCAAAGACTGACCGAAACGAACAACAAAAGACAAATAAACTAGAACAAAGAAAGTAACAGTCTGCTGCTGAAGTAAAACCTAATTTTATAAACATGAGTGATCCATACAAGGAAATCCAGATAACTACATGAAAAGCTTTTCAGATCAACTTTAAACATGCTGACAACAGCTGCACAACTTCACTGAATTATCAAACTGTTTGTTTTCCATTGACAAAATGCCACCGTGAATAACCTTCCCACAACATTGATGACAAATTAAATCGTCTGACACCTAATTCCAACTCTGGCTTCATTCATTCCCAGAGGTTTCCTCAATCCTCGGCATCTTGTCTTTACTATTGTTCCACTCAAATTATTTTTATTATCTTCATGGACTGATTATATGCAGCTGCAGCCTTGAATTAAATCTTCGTTGCTAAACCATATTGGCCACTGGAGACTGTGTTTTCACAAGTAATTATAACACACAACACAATAAAATGATTGAACACTACTTAAGTTATTCACAATAAGATTATTTGCACTTAAAGTACAGTTTGCACAGTACTCCCTCCATCCATTCATCCATCTGCTGCACTTCTTAGAGAATTGAACTGAAATATGTTAAACTGTAAATGTTATGGATGTATGGTTCATTCATTTTCTTTAATTTAGAGAGATGGCAGAATGTTGACTGCATAACTACTGTCGTAATAATACATAATCTTGTTAAAAAAATACATCCAGCTTTTAAATCAGATATATTGGCACATTAAAGTACCTTCAATATTTTAAATGACAATTGGCCAAATTTTTACTTCATCGCGACACTAACAAATTTATCTCAAAGATTATTCATTAACCTTCATATCAGTTGTTTAACACAGTGTCCCTCATTAATAGGTGGGTTAGGTTAGATAATGCTCCTTAGATTGAAGTCTATTCAAAAGACACGTGGCAGAAGCCAACAAACACTCAAGGGGTTGGAATCAAAGAGGACAAAGGCCTCATCTTAGTTTCTGTTTATAAGTTGGGATATTACCAGTTTCACCACTCATCGCCTTCATGAGGAAGGAAGTGGATGTAATTCTTTCTCATAGACAGTGGAGTGTCTGTTCAACTGTTACATTTGGTTTAGTTTTATGAGGAACATTCAGTTGAGACAGTTCAGCCTTGGTCTTCAAACGAGCAAGACAAGCACAAGTCTTAAGTCAAGTACTGTAGTAGTCCTGTACTAAACACAGCTTTCAGCACAATGTCATGGTCTTTATAAGAGAATGGACTTTGTTCAGTGGAGGTTTTCATCGTTCCATTGAAATGTACTTGAAAGCTGGAGAAAAAACAGCTTCAGTCTTCAGATGAAGACACTCACAGTCATTGATTCAATGATTGACACATTATTCTCAATAAAGTACAAATAACGACCAGCCTCTGTCTTGTCACAAAGAAACAGAATTGAAAACGTTTTTGTGTCAGATATGACTGATGTTAATAATGTTGGTAATGGTCGTAGATGTAGCATAACATACATTGCAATGATAATTATTGTGGGCCTCTCAGTAGTTGAAGTCTTCTCCATGCTCTGTCCAATAATAACAGCAGAACGGAGGCATGTGGTTTAGGGGCTTTGTGTTCAGCTCTGAGATGGATCACTGTGTTCTCAGGTCAACTCTGCTCTGCATTCCTGACCTTTCTTTGTTTGTCCTCAAGAAATGTCAGAGAAGAGAATAAATTCTTCTAATAGAAGGGGGACACTCTGGGTTTTCTACTTCAAGAATCAGGGAGCTGAGAATCTATAGAAAAAGTGTTTTTGTTGGGGGGAAAAAAAGGTGGAATTAATAACTTTGGGCCAAGAAAGACAAACGGAGTATGATAGGTTGTTTATGAAAGCTTTCATGACCTGCTCAACCTTCACTTACACAGTGGAAATTTTAACCAGTATCTTGTAATCTAACCTTCTGAGCCCCGAGCAGCGCCCCTGGAAATTAAGAGCCATATAGACATATAGGGCTTCCCTGCACATGGAGCTCAGCACTGTGCCGAGCTGCAGAGAGCTGTTTTTAAAAGGGGGTCCCCCGGGGGAAGCTGGACTGTGAGGAAAACCAGACAGAGGAAATCACACCCAGTTGCGCCCATGGCTGCCCATCTGGCTCCCTCACATCTGCAGGGACATTATCTCTGTAAAAAGTTGGCACAATATGGCGACTACTTTGTGGTTGATGCAGACGCTGGTTAAAATAAGAGCATTTGAAAACAGAAATAAAACAATGACTACAGGAGTTCAAAAATATTGAGTTCAAGAAATGAAAAACACAACAGTAGTTGTTTTCTTCCCTTCAAGGACACAGTTAATGTCTGGCAGGATTCCAGAACTGCTTTCCTTCCGTAAACAGTGCGACTGAAATAAGATTTTATATGTCAACACAAAACCAGGGAATTTTGATAGAGATTTAAACAAGCTGTAAGTCTATTTCTAGAAAAATGACTTGACATAAAAGCATCTTGCGTCGAACCACGAACTGGATGGATGGTGACAGACAAAGGAATACACAGCAACAACCGTTGCTGCCTTTGGACAAACATATTTCATACTGGAGTATAGATGACTTCCAGATGACAGTGGGAGGCAATGACAGACTTCAGACGCCAATTACGCACAGCCACTTGAAGGGACGGTCACGTCTGCCACTTGTAAGTGCTGACAATAAACATAGTGACACAGAGTCAGGACAGGGAGGGAGGGTCACTTTCCACTGCAGATAATCCAAAGTTTAGATTTCAGAGTTTAAAAAAAATGTTTATTTAAACCCAGAGCTTCAAGCATGAAGGTGGTTTTTACAGTACAACACCACATGACGAAGGACAAACATGCCACAGAAAACATGTCAATTTGACACGAAAAACTAAATTATTGATTTAGTGGAGAAAAAGATATGAACATTTTTTCTTGCTCAAAAGAAAAAGGGAAAGTTACCATATGTGATCAAAAATTAAGTATTTATTTAAATGGAAATTACCCAGAATTTTACACAACCTATTTTATTAAAACCACAGAGACAGAAAGTTGGCTCCAGATGCCAGAGAAGAAAAACCCCAACAGGAACTGGGAAGACTTTTATTTTCATACTTTCTGCTGAATCAAAAGTTTCCTAAGAGGCACAGAGGTTTCCTTGTAAAAGTAATTTATGTTCACAGTTTCTTTCTTCCTCCCTGAGCCAGAGGAACGTGTTGATGTTTCTGTTAGAGGACTGGCAGGTATCAGGAGGTCAGAGAGATTCAAATACTTATAGGAAGAATATTGATAGGCCACAACTAACTTTCCAGTTGTTTGTTGAACTGGAGTGTCCTGCACATGCATACAAACACACACAAACACACACTCAGTCACACACATTAAACTGCTAGAACTCCTCTATGATCCAAAGTTAAGGTACTCAGTCTTGAGGCGGCTCAGTCTGGTGCCGTGGCTGCGGATGATGAGAGACAGCAGCTCTTGTTTATCCTTCAGTCCCACAGAGATGCCCGTGGTCGCCCTCAGCGCGTCCCTGATGTCGCTCACTTGCTTCACCACGTATCCGTTCAGCTGCTGCTCCTCTCTCAGCTCCGTCTCCTGGCTCTGCTTGAATTTCACCTCCAGCTCCAGCAGGGACTTGTCCACGCTGGAGAACGCCTCGCCGATCTGGGCGATTTCCCGCTGCAGGAACTTGCCATAGCTGTCCTCTCCGTCCAGGTCGTGCGCCACGGCGCGTCCGATGCCCTCCAGCAGCCGCGCCGCGTCCTCCGCCTGCATCTTGGCGATGACGAAGTCGTCCCGCACCACCGAGTCCCGCTCCTCGTTGGCCCCGCAAGGATACACGTCCGAGAACTTAAAGAGCATCTGGCACTCCTCCGGGTCCTCGGTCTCCTCGTAGTCCCCGTCCGGCACGAAGAAGTGATGGAAAGTGCCATTGGTGATCTCCGGCTGCAGGGGCCCGGTGTACACTGCGGAGCAGCATGGCACAGATGCGACTATTAGGAGCAGCAGTGGGACGGGAACCATCATGCACCTCCTCTCTCTCTTTGGCGACCAGCATCTGCACTGGCAGCCGGAGCCAGCGCACAGTTTTCATCCCGACTCATGTTACACAACTCCCCGTCACCTAAAAGGCACAGACCGCCTGTTTAAGTGGAGAGGGCCCCTGGTGGCCCCCAGTTATTATACAGCCACACAGTGTCAGTGCAGACTGTTCTCCAGTAGTAGTAAGAAGTTTATTCATACTCTTATTACCCTAATTCCTCTATGTGAGCAGAGATGATACAATATGCAGGAATATGTATTTTCACAATCTATAATGTTGAAGCAGGATTTAGATCATAAATGGACATTTTGACTCATATGTGCAAGATTAATATTGTGTTATTTTCATCCAGACCTCAAATCTGTTTTAATCAAATTATTTTGCTGGATTTATCAGTAGTTTACTAACCTATGTGGCTGTCCTTTATTAGAGGCTCTTAATCATTTTAGTAGCAATGTCTTGATCATATAATCAATAGCTCAATTAGATTTGATTTTATTTGGTACTGAGTTTTTACCACCAGAAACTTTTTCTGATTTATTTATAGAAGTTTGATTTAGTTCATGTCAGTCACATATAACAAGCTCTTCGACAAGACAAATTCCTGGCAGGAAATAAATAAGTCTTACAAGGTCTCCAAAAAATTGAAACAGTAGTATTTCAACATTTACTGTGTAATATTGCTGGAATGTGTTAATTTCAATGTTATACAATGTTTACATTACACAAACAAGACTTATAATAAGTATTCGATCCCTGCCTGAATTCAGTCCCATCAAATCTTACAAGTTCACGTTTGATTAAACCTGATCACTGACAGTCCTACAGCACCATCATTTACACTGGCAAAAGAAAATAAGCATAACAAGTTAGTGTTTCACAATAAGCAAATCAACAGTTGATCAATATATAAAAAAGAGAGATGCTAAAAGAAACAAAAGAATCAATAAATGGTAATTTAGGCCAAAGAATATGTTTGTGATTAGCCTGAAGAAAAGTGGTCCAGGATTTTACAGTGAGGCTTGGATATGAAAATTTACAGAACAGATGTGGTGAATGTTAAATGAGTATGGTAATGACTCTTTTTCTGTTGCATTCCCAGACTGTGAGAGTCTGGGTGCAGTAGCTAGAGCTCACTCTGATGACTTCAGTTGGATGATCACATTACTGCAGTGAGGGAGAGAGTCCCGTGGGCTATGATCCCCTCTACTGCACATCCTGTCTTGGGTAATTGCATCATCACTAGGTGGTCTCTCAGATACGTTTCTCAGCAGGTCAGTGCTCACTTTAACTAGAACCATATGGTGAGCTGTAAACACAGGACTCAAAACTGATGGTTTGTGTGTGATCCATCCATTCATGGTTTGTACTGTATCTGAAGCTGCAGCGGGATATGTTTATGTTGTTAGAAAACAGATGAGAAACACACAACATTTCTCCAAAGTAACAGACCTGATTATTTACTGAAATAAACAGAGTGTAATGAGAAATATAGTCAAAAATACAAAAAATGTGTCTCTCTCTCCGTCTGTCTATCAGTCTGTCTGTCTGTCTGTCTGTCTGTCTGTCTGTCTGTCTGTCTATCTATCTTTTGACTTCACTTTTGAGAGCCACCATATTGTCCATCTTTACAGTCTATGGTCTGTCGACCTGATGAACCAGTAGGATATTTTTTTGCTGTTTCCACCAACTCCTAAAGGAAAATCTCTCCAAAAATATCTGTCCCAATATGGAAAATAAAATATACTCCACAATGTTCATCAGCAAGTTGCCATTGTGGTCTGTCCGCTGTTTGGCACTGGACGTGTAACAGCCTCATGAGAACAGCAAGACCTGAGCTGAACCCAAACAATGAGCTGAGAGAAGTTCAAATGCTCTGACTGTAACTTCTCTCTGTCACATTACAAAAATAACTTGTGAAACTAATATAGCTGCCAAATTAACCCCCCACACCCAACCTCTCTGAAGTCAATAAGGCCATGACCTGATTACAACCTCGATAGCAAATTAAATCATTCACCAACTCGACTACAACTTTTCCATGATACCATCACCAGTGACACCAGTACAGTTCAAGGTAGAGACACAGCTATGGCTGCTGGTACTACACTGTTGCAGAAGCCGCTCTTTACTGTCAGTCAATCAAGGTTTCAGTTTATGATTGGCTAACTAACTAACCAACTAACTAACTAACTAACTAACTAACTAACTAACTAACTAACTCACTCACTCACTCACTTACCGACCAACCAACTAACCATAGCTGAGAGGATCTGCAGAGTCTGGTGTTTCTCTATGTCACTAACAATCCCCTTCACATTACACATCTCATTTTCATACTTGTATGTGTCATTAGTGTCTCTCTGTAACTATTGCAGAAAATTCTTTGTATCACTCCTGACCTTGAACTGAAGTTACTCCCTCTGCTCACTGAGCTTTGCACCTTCTCCTGCATCAATGTTCAAAGTCTGAGTCACGACTCAACAGTGTTGCTCATGAGGGATTTTAAAGGGGTTACCAAGGGTTTAACCATTTTTAATCAAGGCCGCGTCATAGCGTATGTAACTCTGCAGTCGTAATATTTAGTATGAAACTGAGGACTTAAGAACAAGTGTGACAAACTAAGCAAGAACAGGTGTTTTGTGTTTGTACATCTCGGTCTCCAGAGTTGACTGTTTAGAAATAGAGTTGACTGTTTAGAAAGAGAGTTGACTGTTTAGAAAGAGAGTTGACTGTTAGTGCTTCTGAACACACTCCTGAATGAGCAACACAAGCAAAGACAACTCGGCACACAGGCCTTCTCTTTCCTTTATAAGTCACACACCTGAATAAATATAGCATTTCTCAACATAAACACTGACGGAGTAAACTGACCAGCAGGAGACAGGGCAACGCTGCCTGAAAGCAGATGTAGTGACACATGTAACAATAAACAGAATTCAGGGGAGTTGTGAGAGGGAAGTTCTTGTTGAGCTTTTACTGTACAACATTGTGTGAATGTGTGTGTGTGTGTAGGGAGCAGGAGGGTCGAGGGCCTGCAGGCTGTGTGGGAGGCTGCACACACTGACTCACAGTGAATCATAATGACCTTATGCTCATCACAACCAAAGGAATTCAGATTTAATCATTAACATTCTCTTAGTTATCAGCAGTGGAGTTATGCTCATTACTGTGGCCCTGCATTACAACAAGCTCTCGAAGGATTTTGACATTTACATGTAACAAATCAATCAATTAGAAACAGGCTCCAGAGAGGAGAAACCTCTGAACCATCCTCTAATGTGTTATCTAACTTGGACCAATGTACAAAAAAACAGTCAAACCAAAAAGCTTGAAGTACGACAGAAACATTTCAGGGAGGAAGCAGACAACAAGTCTAGGTCACGAGAGGTCACAACAAGAAATATTCAGATGAAATATTTCAATATGCTCAATGGCAAATCTGTTGAAGACTGAAGAAGAAGAGTGTAGAAACATAGTGGTCAATGCTGGTGCAACCTGGACTCTCACCAAAAGGACAATTTCACCATTGATCCTCAGAGTTAAAGGAGAAGTTCTTTTTTTTCCAACCTGATCCTTATTTCCAGCATATGGTATGTAGATCTACTCACCCATAAAGGTTTGGAGTAACTTGGAGTCCTTCGGACGCTTTTAATCCACACAGGATCGGTGTATATCCATACAACGCAAGTGACTGGGGCATCCACAATACAGCCTCTAAATAACGCATTATCTGCCGCGAAACACTTTATTTTACTATGAATCGCCAGCACGAGTCCTCTGTGAGTCCAAGTTGCTTTTTTTACATCCCGGGCTTTCACTGGGGTGACGTCACCCAGGCGCGCAGCCGCAGGTCAGCTGACGATCAGCTGTGTTTGTTTACACGGAGTTTGCTGCTGCTAGTTTTGCGCAACATGGCAGAATACTTAGCAGGTGCTAGCTAACTTCAGCGGGCTAACGAGCAGCCTCGGAGCTAGCGTTAGCTTAGCACCTTTAACCGGGTGAATACGCCCGAGCACCAGGACACAGCTGCTTTAAAACTGTACTGTTCTGTAAAGCACCTGATAAGTATTCTGCCATGTTGCGCAAAACTAGCAGCAGCAAACTCCGTGTAAACAAACACAGCTGATCGTCGGCTGCGCGCCTCGGTGACGTCATCCCAGTGAAAGCCCAGGATGTAAACAAAGCAACTTGGACTCACAGGGGACTAGTGCTGGAGATTCATAGTAAATAAAGAGTTTCGCGGCAGATAATGCGTTATTTAGAGGCTTTATGGGTGAGTAGATCTACATACCATGTGCTGGAAATAAGGACCAGGTTAAAAAAAACGAACTTCTCCTTTAAGATTTATAACCAGAAATAAACCTGTCACAAATAAGCTGTAAGTACCTGGTGCTGTTCTCAAAGGAAAATGGCTTTTGTTAAGAAATCCAGTGAAGGAGCAGAAGTAATTGTTCCACTGTCTGAAGCCTCAATAGACCATCATGCAATGCTACCACAAGACATGTAATTTTATGCCATCTTTAAGTATAGCACTTTAGTATTATAATCATCATTCCAGAGTTTTTTTTCCATTCTTTTCCTTCACCCGTACACAACAGCTGGATGATGACACTTTCATAGACCCACACACTCATCATTGTTTAAAAGCAATGAGGTCATCTGAGCACCCCCCCCTCCCCCCACACCAACCCAGTAGATGTACATCAACTGTTTTTTGTCAATCAGCCCATAATACTGAGATGCCGCTGCTGTCATTCTCAGACCCTGAGATAGTAAAAGCAATAAAGAAGATGATGATAGAAGATTTTAGAGCAGATTATGTCCAGTTAGTTTCAACTGAATCTGACTGACTCTGGCTCAGTTACTTCCTGGTGCTGCAGGAGGTTTGATGGCAGGTTTTGCGTTGACACTGTGAACAGGTGTCACTTCTTTCATCCGTCCAGCTCCACAAAGTAATTTGAGGCGGCTGCTTCTCAGCAGCAGGTCAACTCATCTGTCACTGCTGTTACTTATGAGTAATATCAGAATCTCACCCCCCTGTCACCTCGAAAAGCACTTTACCAGCAAGCCTCAAACTTTACCACTTCTTATTGCTGGAAATGGCTCGGAATTCTGTTAATCACTGACCCTCCAGTTAGTGTACGACCTAGCCACTCACGTTAAAATGTCATGACAGTCAATCAAATAGTTGTTGATGGACTGACTGAACAGACAATATCAGTGGAACATGTTTTCATGAAACCATAGTTTGTCTTGTATTTTTTTACACAAACAGTTATTTTACATAACGGATTCCATTGAATACACCTCATGGAACAGTGGAGAGCTTAGTCCACCACACTGGAAACCATTCCCTGCACCCAGCTAGTGTGTGCTCTGATGATTTGTGGACGTCCGTGATGTAACTCTGTCCCCCACTGCTCGTCCTTGGTTCCATGTCCCTTTTACACCCCAGTACAGCTGGATTTATGGCCACAGTTTCAGTGGGTCCATTGATTACCCTACTAACCTGTACTGTAAATCTGTGCTGTATGAATAACATCAGTCACCTGGGGGTGATTGTAGAGAGCAAGAACTAATGACCACAGTCTGCACAAGATGGAGACAGGTTAAAATCACTGATATATGAGGCCGGGGTTGGAAAACTGCTCGGCACAAAGTGTGAATAAGGCTGCCAGTGTTTTATTGGTGGACAGACCCATGGGTTTAACTGTGGTGCCCGGCAGAAAACATCCTGCTGGTGCTGCTGAGCCAGAGAATAAAATTTGTTCTGAACCAGAGCAGTTTGGTTTTGTTGAGAGCACAAAAAAAAGAAGCTGCTTCACATCCTTTTCAGTAGACCTATAAGTCTACATATCTTTTATTTCATCACATACTCTCTTGATCAGTGACGGACCATGAGAGGATTGTGTGAGGTTGGTAATCTTACTCTGCAGTTCTGCTGTGATCCTTGTCATTAGCAGTTCCACTAAAGAACCATTTCCCTGTTGAATTCTTCACAAAGAGGTAAAATGAATTTGCCTTATATATCGCCTACTTTGCTTTTTGCAATTTGCTGGTCACACGTCTGTAAATTTAAATGTGGGCATTAGCCAATCATCCCTGTCATGTCTGCAGCCAGTGCAGAATACTGTGTTTTTTATGATATATTGTATTGTGTCCTTGGGCAGATCATTATATGATTTTCTTTTAATTTTATTCTATTTTGTGATTGTGTCTCCTTTTATGTCGACTGTGATCCTTTGTGCTTGATAATTAAACTTTTGAAGGCAGGGCTTTTACTTGATTAATCATTTTGTTTTTGTTGTACTTGACACTTACCTAGTAGCTTCAAGGATCTCTGTAGTTCTTTAATTTGTTGTGAGGTGGTAGTGTTTAGCTCTTGGGTTTTTTTCTCTTCCCTCTCCTTTTTTGGATTTTCCTACAAATATATTTCTTCAATATCCCTTAAAAGTTTCCCAGTGCAAACCCTATCATTGATATAGAGCGGAATTACCATGAGACAGACGTGCATAATTCCTTCATGGCTGTTTTCTCTATAGAACCAACTGTGTTGAGAATGTGAAACCACAGCTTTTTAAGCCACTAAGTAACGTCTGTTGGTCAAAGAGGTGAAAGGAAATATCTTAGTGTGGCTGTCCAAGAGTAAAACTGTACACAGGAAGTAATCAAAGTATTAAGCATCTGTCATTAGAGCTTAAAACCAACCAGATCTTTGCACATTTCCCATGGACTGTTTAGATTTCACAGTAAAAAAAAAAAAGAAGGCTAGCACTGACTGACATGACGCGAATGGAAAAGCAGTTAGAAGAGGAGCCTGAGCGGCAGTGGCAGCAAACAGTCCTAACGTTGAGGGAAAATGCTGCAAAAATCAAATGGTGGGTTCGTCATGGAACATAATCTCTTTAACAATATGTTACATGAGGACTCTTTGGCAAGAAGTTTGGTGGTTTGTGATAATGGCGAGAGAGAGAGAAAAAGAAAAGAAAAAAAAAAAAGAAAACAATTTTTGCACTCGGCTGCAGCTCTGGTTTGTTCCATAAGCAGATTTAATGAAACTTGAATGGTCATGAGGATGATATCAGCTCGGTGTCTGCCTGTTTGTCCCCCCGCCATTTTACAGGATGAAAAGAAACAGGAATGAAGACGCCAGATGTGATTTGAAAGATACAATCCATGATTTATTACAGAAAAGTGATATCCAAATTATTTTATGTCATATTATTTATACATTTCAGTATGTTTTTACATGTAAACAGGAACGAAGTAAACAATGTCATCGATACACTTCATGTCACCACTGATACCATCATATTGTACAGTTGAATCTTGAAAATGTCACTGTGCTTCCATGTCAGGTACATCATCCCATTAGGAGGCGCGGCATCGAGCAGAACGAGGTGCAAGGTCATGCCGTTATTACTCATTACACAATACCCATGTTGTGCTATTGCCAACAGCAGAAGGCCTGAGAAACACCTTTCCACCGCTGTGCAGCATTTGTATCGGTGAGAGCGTGAACTGATGAAGACAGGAAAACGGGAAAGAATTCCATCCAGAGATGATTAGCAGGCGGGCAAATGAAACAAGGTCACAGAATTATTCATGACATAACCCATATCCTATTAGGACAAACACTGCGGCTGTTAGAGGGTAAACAAACTTCTAATTTCCAGTGTGCAAACAAAACAAGTCTGAATTTGATTTTATCAACCTCCCCTTGAAACTCAGTCCAGGACAGATTAAATGAATCAGTCGATTATAGTTTATAAAACACTCTAACAGTATAAAACTCGGCCACATCAAGAAACATACATGTCTCGCCCTGACCTCCAGAAAGGATCAACACTGAAAAAAAGGAAAGTGATATGTTTTAAGACGCTTCTTACCGAAGTTGCTCAAAGCAGGGGTCGTTTCATGCATAACACTACAGTACAAATGTACCAGTACATTTACATCTGCGTCTGTTCAAAAAGAAATGAAGCACTCGAGGAGAACAACATGCATAGATTTTCAATGTTCACATAGCAAGGAAGATATTCTGAAAAGCTGCACTAGTTTCCTAAACATTACTGGGATAAGATTTTAAACAAATATCTCTCTCTCTTGTGAATGAAATGTTAATGAATGACATAAAAACATAATTAGATTTAATCCAACAGCCTGCATCATAAATCTCCATAATTAACTCTATAACTGCCATTCTTTACGATCTGCTCTTTCGATCTCACTGGGATTGTGCATGAAAATCAAACATGCCTTTTTTCGTGAATGTGCAGCGTAGTCATGCAATGGAATGCAGTGCAAAAATATATATCTAAAAAAGCAGGACAGCTTGGATTGCATCGTAGAAAAGATGACAACATGTTGATCATCAGCAAACATTCAGAGGACACCTGAGAAATGTGGACGTTTGTCGATCTGAGGGTGAAAACAGGTGAACTCATAATACACAAGTTTAAATGTATAAAAAACATTACACACATCAGAAAATGTAGAAAGAACAGCAAAGGAAATAAATACAAGTAATGTACAATTCTTGCAAAATGAGGAATACGTTTCTCAGTGTTGTGCAATGCATTCAGGGTAGTGATTTTTTTCACAGTCACATGTTACTTTCACTTTTACTGTGCATAATGTGGTTAACTCTCAGTCTTTACCATCATCACATGATCATTGTGAGTTTGAGATTTCGTCACCTACTAAGAACATTAATACCTCACTGTACATCCTCCATAACCTTCAATCCCAACAGGAAATTATATGATTCAGCCTCATAGACAGATGTGTCGCTCATGCTGGCTGATATCCTGAGTTCTCACTGGATAAAAACATTCTGCTCTGATCTCAAACTCTGTCTTTAACAAAAACCTAATTTCTCATTTTCACATTGATAAAGGCCAGAAATCAGCTGTAACCACATCTGCTCAGTAAAACACTGGAAGTAAAGACTCTCGCTGTACTTTCTGAGTGTGGAACAGTGGATGGATGTTCTTTGCAAACTGAACATTCAAGCCACAGGTATGCCCAAGTGATCCAAGTTTCAACCACGCTTCAGTGTTTCCAACAGCAAATGAAAAACAGGCTGCGGGCGCAGAACGGAAGAGCAGATTTGTAGCTCCTGCATGCGAGTGTATACATTGTTTCACGCTGGGAGTCGCGTTACAACGTACACGGCCCGTGTGTTTCGAAGCCATTAGCTGAGACCCGAGTAGGTACAGCGGTGTGACTCACATCCAAAACAAATTCCTGGCAGGAGGGTTCAGAGAGTTTACAGCAGATTGGACGACAAAACCAGGATAGAGTATATTTTCTTGCACTTGAAGAAAAAGCACGTGCAGCACAAACAGGCACACGTGATTTTGGTGACACAATTGTGGTGCACACAACTGTAGGCACAATCAAATTGCACAAAGTTCACATATTCTCAACTCAAGACGGTCAAGCTCAGCAGTTGCACAGACAGAGAGTAACAGACGGCACACACTGAGTACAGACACGTGTGAACCAGGCATCAAGACAGGGGCTTTATCCGTCAGAAAGGTACGAAAGAAAATTATCATGCACTTTATATGATTCCATAGAGAATTCTTTGTCAGATGTTCTGAATGGATGTTGTTTTTATGTTTTATTCTTTTTTTACTGTGTATGAAATGGTAGCAAATTTGAATCAGCATGCTTCAAGGGCAATTTACAGTCACTTTGCAAGAACAGTCCATTTTATTTGGTAGCCACAAAATACCAGAATCACTTTTGCAACATTAAAACGCTAAGTGCCACAGTAGCTCTGTCACATAACGCCACTGGTGGTAGAAATACACGGCCATGCTGCGGGCTGCGTCGGACTGCAGAGCCAAAGCGAAGTGCTAGCTGCCACACAGAGAAGAGTGTGGGATGGATGCCAAGAGCGAACAGTGGCGATCTGCAGCCCTTGATCTGCATAGTAAACATTGCAATTGGAAAGGTTTTCCCCAAGTAAAGCCATGACATAGCACAGACTAGAGGGCAACCTGCTGGACACAGCCAGGTGAGGGATCAGGGGCGGGGCAGGAACCGAGAAAAAGCGTCAAAGCCGAATACGGAACAGATGGTGAGAGAGGGTTCCGGGTCGGAGCTTGAGCTGAAGCCAAGCAGGCCTGGGGTGGGGTAGAGCGAGGCATCTGATCACTGAAGAGGGTGTCTTTGGTGTAACGGAATCAGCTGAGTGAAGCTGGACTCTCTCAAAGCTAAAATACATAAACAAGCAGGCAGGGGGCAAGGTTGTGCCTGTGAGTTGTGAGGCGTGTAGTGGAGACGTGGGGGGTAAAGCTAAGGCCACTCATGGTGATATCGCCGTCCGTTCTTTTTCCGCTCCTTCTGCAGGTGCTCCAGCTCTGCTTCATACATCATCTCCTGCATCAGGTACTTCTCCCTCCTCATGCGATCACACAGATCCTTCGGCATGTCCGGAATGAGGTACGCTATGAAGGACTTGATCCCAAACACCAGGTGCTGAGGGAAGCATCAATCATTTATGAGTTACCTTCCACAGAACACACTTTACTTTACCAGTATTTGATGCATAATTTAATCACCACGATAAATGCCCTATAACATAATATAGGTGCATAAAATCTAAGTTTTTCTTCTGCAGAAATAAAAGTAAAGGGCAAAATTAGAAGAAACATAATGATGTTATTATCTGAGCCACAATGTAATTTAGGTTTTATTCTGTGGGTTTTGAGTGAAATTCCTCAGACTACTGTAGCAGCAAGAATCAACTAAATTGGGCTTGTGGGGCTTTAGTTCAACACTGAAAGCAGCATAAATTAATAATAATAAAAACAATATGCATCTACAAAACCTTCTGCAGTTACACAGAGGAAACGTTACAGGATTTACTTTTAACTGCTTGCCTTGCTGGTAAATATACAAAAAAAAAGAAAAGAAGAGTGCAGACAGACCTCAAAGACGATGATGAAGGCCAGCCTGGCAGCCAAGACGTGCCAGAACTGCAGGGTGAATTCATATGGAACTGGGCTCCAGGGTGGCGCTCTGTAGTCCCGGTACCTACAGTATCTGGACTGGCTGCTGTTGTTGAGCTCGCCCATGTCGAACACAGACAAGCTGCTGTTCATGTAGCCTCGCAGACACCTGAGAGCGAAAGGGGAAGCCATCAGAACATAACAGAAGCCACTCTGCCAGATAGATCTGCAGCTTACACATTTGTTTTAAATGCTCACTCATCCTCGTGGTGATGCCCCTTGTTCACACACGGGCCGTATTTGAAGGCGTACACAACGCGGGGGATGAAGTCTGAGGTGATGGCGATGACAAAGGCGTTGGTGATGACTGCCAGCACGCCGATTCCTTCGAGGATCCCATGCCAGATACCTGACAGCCAAGACAGAGGGGAAAAAACATTTTACAATATTGTTTCCAGCATAAAGAAAGACATAATCTATGGTGATCTATATGTGAATAACCATTAAATGGTGAAATCTTATGGTTATGTTTTTCATAACCTTGTAATTTCAATGACATTACGGGATTCTTTAAATGTATGTATATATTCATACAGGTATAAACCAAAAGACTCAAGATAAAATCTATTCAGGCGACTGTCAGTGGAGGAAAATCTTCTCTTTACCTTTTCTACCCAGTAAATATCAGTTTAAAGCTACAAAAGAGTCTGTGACTGACACATAATGCATTCATTTCAGCTGAGGAATTTCTAAACATATCAGGGTTCCTTTAATTACAGGGGGACATGCCACACAAAGCATTTGTTACACGGCAGTTGGAGGGTGGTGTTTGTAATCATGGGGGGGGGGGAGCATATGGCAGTGCAGACACAGGATATGGAAACATATCCATTTTAATAGGGTGGGACATATTTGGTTCCTACAGTGGTTTCCTGTTTGAAAAGAAAGTATCTCAGAAGCTAAAAATAAAAACGGGAGTCTGAGACACTGAGGAGGTGAGTGTGTGAGGGCAGTCAGAGATCACACCGACCGATGTCAGTGGCTCGGGCCGGCATGGGTCTTCTCCACTGAGTGACAAACTTGTAGGCGTCAAGACGAATCTCGATGATGTTGTTGAGCAGAGCCAGGAGAGGAGCCAGCGGGAACGCTGCTACAAAGATGGTGGTGAAGCCAAACTGGAGAACTGCAGAGGAGAGAACAGTTTGGATGAAACTTCACAGGTTGTCGCTCTCAAAACTGGCAACAACAATGTAAATGATTGAATAATAGCTGCAATTTACAAAGTCAAACTGCCTAACCCATTTCAAGGTATTCATCCACCAGACCATGGGCGTTCATCGGCTGCAGATTCCAGTCTTTGTCCCACTGTGGGAGCTGGGCTTTATTCTCTACATTCTGCCCTCCTCCACCTCCTTTCTTTATCTTCCTGCGAGACCACCAGTTCTGCAGCAAACTGAGAATGTAGCAAGAAACTAACTGTCAACTCAAAGTAATTATTTCTGACAATGAAAACACTGAGCGCTGTAGGAACCTTTTGAGTAAGCCCCACACAAGATGATTTGATGTGTTTCTGCAGGAGAAAAATCCTTTTCATATGCTAATAAGCAAAATGGACAAAAACTATGCAGGAATTAAACATGGTGTGTAAAAACAAATCACTCATCATCAAGCTACAGCATTGGGAATTAAATATGACATCTCTAATGGGCCATAGAGAAGAAAGCACATGATTATAATAACATATTACTTACGGATAACCGAGCTCCATGAAGTTGTTCCAGATTTGTTTGAAGAACATGATGACTCCCATTTGCAGGCACAAATCAATCAAACAGCCGCTCGGGTGACACTGAGAAAAATAAATAGAATTTGCATGCCTGATAATATAAAGCCGCAAATGAATCCTGAGACGCACGTCATCCCATTGTTCTCAGATCATTTGAACTGAACATCCCAGTAATTATGTGGGAGATGAATGGTTCACACAGTAATATACATCAGGATCATTGCACAGATGAAAAACTTGACATTTCTAAAAATATCCTTGAAACAGAAGGAAATAATCTGCCCGGTGACTACTGAGGAAATATCACCCATTTGCGGCGATGCCTAATTGCACTCACCTCCTCCAGTCTCCATCGATTAAAGAGTTTATTGTATTTCCCGGGCCTGCCAGCAAACCTGAAGAGATTGAGATCGGCCACATTAGCTGCGAAATTCAATCAGACAAAACTCACAATAGAAAAAAAAAAAAACAAGACACCTCGAGCTGCGTAAACAACAGCTCATTCACATCTCAGGGCCAGGCAGTGTTTTGTAAATGTTGGAACGAGGTCAAAAAACTACTATAGAGTGAGGAGGGAAAGGGAGGGAGTCTTGGCAGATGTAATGACATGGGAGTTTGAAGCACAACATCTTCTTTCAATCACTCGTTAAATTATCTGTAAACAGGAACTGTAGATTCATGGAAGCCGGACCTACCTTCCAAGAAAGAAGGCGATGTAAAATGTGGAGCTGTTCAGATTTACAAACTGGAAGAGAAACATCTTCAGAGCGAAGCTGTTCTCCCACTCAGACTCTGTACGTGGATGCTCTGAAGAGGGGAGAATAGGGGTTGTGGGGTTGGAGAGGAGAAGATAAATGGCTGCCCACCATCTGAGAAGTAAGAGATAATGAAAACACAAATGCAGGCAGCAAGTGCACATAGCTCACCTAAATTAGTCAGCAGATAGGCCACCTTTTCATACACCTGACAAGATGATAGCAGGCATGAGCATCAACAAGCAAAGGTTTGAGAAGCACATTAAAGAATTGTGAGAAAGAGAAGCATACAGGAATCTCAGGAAAAAAGATGTTCTGGCTGTGCATGTGAAATTTCCTGGCGCAAAGCTCTAAATAAATGCTTCATAAAAAAACTACTTGCTGGACAGAATATTTAAACATGTGCCAGATGATGCTTGTCCAGACACCCACCACGTTGAGAGACATTATAATCATGAAGTTGATGCAGACGCCGGTGCCAGAGGTGGCAAACTGCCAGTTCTTCTTCACAAACTTCCAGCCGAAGGAGGCGAACTTCTCCATCACTATGAGACGGAAAACCACCACGGCAAACACGGCCGTCAGAACGAGGGAAATCTGAAGAAAGGATGATGAATGAGTTTAAAAACAGTATTAAGCAACTTCAGAAAACATGAACACTCTAGTTTGGGCTTGGGAGGATTAATCTTGTATTATAATGAAGAAATGGGCAGAGAAAAAATGTAAACCTATTAATCAAGGCAACATAGAACTATTCAGATAAACACATCATTCATGTACAGATCAGAAAACAACAGAAATGAGGTTATCAGAATGGCTAAATCCAGTACTTCCTCTAATACACTCTTTGTCCAGCAGGGGGAGGTGTTACACCACTGCTAGCACCAAAATACTGCTCCAAAAACGTGGCACAGAAAGTAACTGTGAGCTCATTCTAAGCCCATGTCCCAAAAGGGCAGATTATTGAAGGATCAGAGGGTTTACCATGAAGAATATTCCGGACACAGACACCATGAGCCGGCTGAGTTTGTCTGAGAACGGCTGGAACGGCTCGGGCTTGCCAGAGATGGGGTTGACTCTCTCCACCCTGGAGTACTTGGCTTCAAACTGAGGCCGCAGCTCCTCCTGATTAACAACACATATCCCAGTGTGAACTATTGAACTGTCTACCTGATGCAGCAATAACTCTCCTTTTATAATCATGTAAGCGGCGTACAAATTCAGAGGAAGCAAGGCAAGAATATAGGCTACAACTGCGAGGTAAGCAGATATTGCTGACGTACCTCTTCCTCTTCCCAGTCAATGAGATCCCAGTCATAAGTCAGCTCTGCCCTCCTCCTTTTCCAGAACTCCAGGAATACTGTGGCTGTATAGGGGGGGAATCAATCAGGAATCAATTGCACAATTGGTTAACTTCGATATGCAACGCACAATATGAGCGATAAACATGAGGGGGATTCACGGTGGAGACAATTCAGAGGCAAGGCCTGATATACTGAATAACCCTTCAGCGAAATGCACGGCCAGTTATAGAAACTTATAACACGCTACTTCGTCAAGTGAAGTTAAAGAAATGTGTCAGTAGCAAATAAGCTTCACTTGTGCAACGTTTCACATCCCAAAAACTTGAAAGACTTCAAAAGTAAAGCTTCTGTGGGCGGAACACAGGCTGGAGGCTTTGTTTCCAATCTGTCAAACTCTATTGTGACTTCAGCTAAACACCAGATACGGCTTTTGTAATGTTTTTTTTCTGCCCAAATTGTTCATACATTTTGTGTCATCACAGACGTGTAACACGAGAAAACAAGACTCTAAAAGCTGCTCACTTCAGAATCAACATTTATGTGAGTCAGTGTACGTGGGAGAATTTGCATGAGTGCAAAAATGGGCCTCGGAGTCAGGGTGAAGGAATGATTCAGTCATGAATGATCTGGGGGGGACAGCACACAGTAACACTATACTACTGATTCAGCTAATCTGTCAGTTTCCAATAAACACACATACAACGTGTGTGTGATGCTGTAGCAAAGGAACAGACTTGTAAAGGGAACTTAATCTTAACATACATGAACTGAGGTTAAGCTTAACTGATCAATCTATAAGTCAATTGACAGAAAAAAAATTAAAAAAAAAATCATATTTAATATTAAATACAATACTTTAAAGTTTTGGGGGTGATCTTCAGACAAACAATCAATTCCGTGAGATCAGTTTGTGCTTTTGGCTTTTGTAAGGGGCATTTTTCTTCCCTATTTTCTAGCATTTAAAAATTCAAATATTGATCTGGAAAGTAACCATTGCAGCCCAACATGTGTTTTTTGTCATATGTTTGAAGTGAAGTAAAACGATTCCAGTGATAAAGTTGAATTCGGGACACGAAAAGGAATCGTGGCCTCAAAAAAACAGCAGGTTCGGCTGGAGAAAGCTCAATCAGAGCAACTTACACTGCTGCTGAAGGTGTTGAAGTTTAATATAGCTTGACCCACTTTTGTTTAAAGCAAAAAAAGAAAAGAAAAGCGGCCCTTTCAGATGCCTACATCTGGTCCCTTGGGCTAAACAATTTTTCATCTCTGTGTTCCACACACACACACACACACATCCCAAACATTTGGCTTAGTCTTTGTAACTGCCAAACAGAAGCTGGCCTCTGAAAACACTCTCTCACACACACACTAGACCTAGAGTGCTCTCACTCAGTAGTGCAGTGCTGCTTCTTTGGTCCACATCGCCCAAAGCTTTCATGCAGGATTGAGAGCTGCAGACCTGAGTCAGCGAGGCTGGCTGGACCTCCATGGCTCTCTGGCTCTGCTCGGCCTTTGTTTAGCCCCAAACACAGAACACAATGTGCAAAGTGTTCCCTCTGGGCACAGGTGAATATTTACCGTTTACCATGGCAGAGTGATGGATCTGGGCCAGATGCTGCACACTAACGCTCAAACTCTATATTACAAGGATATTATACCTATAGCTGCAATACATTTGTGGCTCAATCATAGTGCAGTTGTACAACCCTGAGCATGGAAAGATACCGTCTCCCTCTGGTGAGATGTTTAATTATCCGACTAATTATATCAGGACAGCTCTGGAAGTGTAAGCACAGAGCTTCAGTCAGAGAAATCCTGACCGGGACTTGTTGGCTGACAGATGTTATAGAGAAAGAAGGTCTCCTGTGTGTGCACTGCTGAGTGTTTATATATCGAATTCTCTTTACCAAAGCTTAATGTGTTTGGAGGAGTTGAGTGGAGAGTCGAAGTATGAGTACTGACACACAATAGTATTAATAGATTTGAATTCCAGGAGGGTTTGGATAAAGTACAGAGCACAGCCGGTGAAATACAACAAGATCTCAAAAAGCAGACTCCACTTACCCCAAATAGCCATGAAGATTGCAAAGAACACAGTGCCGCCATTGTCAAACAGATGGGTCACCTACAAATGAAATATAATCATTCAACAAAGTTGGATGAATTAAATTGATATCTTTGCAGTTTCAACACTTTTGCAAGTTTACTCCAAAGTTTCTCATCTTTGAATTAGGAGCCTCACATGGGACATTTTTTTTAATTATCAGGCAACATTTGGGAAACATGATTATCTGCTTTTTTCTGGGAGTTAGATGAGAAGACTGATACCACTCTGGTGATTGTTAGATATAAAGCAACACCCAGCTGTCTCACTCTGTGGACCGGCTAATATAACCTCTAAACTCAATAATCAACACAGTTCATCTTATCTGGGAAAAAAAGTATAGAAAAGTTGTTGGGGTTAACTATGGACATTGCTAGTTTAGCCTTTCCCCCCTGGTTCCGGTCTTTGTGCAAAGCTAAGCAAACAGGCTCCTTGTTGTAGTTGGTTGTTTTTTTCCTGTTTTCTTCTGCCCCCCAGTTGTTTGCATGAAGCAATACTCAAGAAAGGTTATCCCTCTGTATAAAATCATTAATCTCCAAAGTGTTGTTGATATTTTGTGACATTTGTTCCTGACATTTGTTTGTCTCTGAGGAAAATGCAAAGTGACCTGATCTCTGCGACTTGGAAACTTGGGGGATAAAGTTTTTTTTATTATTATTCACTTATAAACAAGCCAGAAGAAGTTAATGAACTCCAACATGAAACACTGTGATGAATATCAGGAGTGCACAGACCTTTGCGTAAACACAGCTGTCACTCAGCGTCCACGGGCCACAGGTCTCCTCACACATGGGACACATGGTTGTAGTGTTGGCTTCACATATTTCTTTACTGGTGAGACAATGAACAGAGCCTTAGGAAAAGACAACAACAATCCAAACTGAGCAAGTTTCAAATTGTAAAACATAAATGAGATGGCACCAGTTGTGTGAACTGACCTGACTTGACTAGAGTCCATGGTGAAGAGACCATAGAGGAAGACAAAAACGCCAACCAGGGCGGCAGGGATCAACATGCCAGTGTACCAGCCCAACCATGCAAAGTAAAGGCCGATTTTCTCTCCAAAGTAACGTCTGAGGGAGAGACGGGGGTTAAAGATCTGTTAATCAAAGCTGAGCATGCAGGCTGCAGTTGTAGGTGTAGATAGAGAACTGTGAGGTGGTTGTGGTGGCCTAATGGATAGGGAGGCTGCTGGGTTCAGAAGTCACACAGTACAATGGAGTGATGGATAATGAATCGATAACTGTGATTACTTCCTAAACCACAACTGTTAAAGTGCCCTATAGCAAGACAGTGCTTCAGCAATTAAGCAAGTGCATGTATAATTAATAGTATGCAGCAGGTTTTCTAGGATTAAAACGTTTATCAGGACATACACTGATCAACCACAACATTAAAAGTGCAGTAAACAACATAGATTATCTTGTTACAATGGTTGGATAGAAGACTGAGTCAAATCATCTCCAAACTGGCAGGAGATCCTGGTATGCAACTGCTGAAACTGTGACATAGTCGTGGGCACCCAAGGCTCATTGATGCATGTTGTAGAGTAAAAGCTAACCTGTGTGATCTGCAGCACAAATTGCTGAAAACTTTGATCTTGGCTTTGATAGAAAGCTGTCAGAACACACAGAGTATCACAGCTTGCAGCATACGGAGCTGTGCAGCTTCAGAGAGGTCTGAGTGTCCACTGACAGTGGGAACTTTGGCGTCAGAACTGGACCATAGAGCTTTGGTAGAAGGTCTCTTGATCTGACACATCTTATATTTCACGTGGACAGCCGAGTGCGTGTGCAGCATTTACAGGCAGCAGGATGCACTATGGGAAGGAGGCAAACCTGCAGAGGCAGTGTGATGCTCCAGGCAATGTTCTGCTGGGAAACCTTGGGTATTGGAACTCATGTGAATTCTACCATCTACCTAAACATTTTTTCAGCCTAAGCACATCCATTAACAGTTCTCCCTGATGACAGTGGACTCTTACATCAGATCAATACAACCTGCCAGGGGACCTACTCAATATAAGGCAAGTGGCTTTAATGTTGTGGCTTATTGGTGTATATAATTTGATGTCCTATACTATGACGTGAATTTCCAAAAACCCCAACAGAGTACAGGATGGGAATGTCTTATCTCAGCTAGTGCATGAAATACCTGCAAAACTGAAGCACCTCATGAATACTGATGTAAATCTAATATTTACATTAAGCAGTTCTGCTTATTGATTTGCTAAATGATCCACAAACCAGATCAATATCATGGTGCATACAGTATGACCAAATCTTTGACTTACTGTTCTCACTTACTATCTCAACATCACACAGGCTACCACAACCCTAAAGGAAGATGATGATGATTACATGCAAATACACATGACCTAAATAGTTAAATAACAAAAACAGATTGGCATGACTCCATGTGCTTCACGAAGGCAATTTTAGCAGGGAGGACATTAGGTTATCTTTGCATAAAGACTGGAAGCATGGTGAAATGGATGGAGTTGCTCTTTCCAAAGCAAATCAAACATGTAGCAGAAACAGAAATGTAAGAATTACTCATGAAGTGTAACTGATCCCCCCCCCCCACTTCCAGTCTTTATTCTAAGCTAAATTCATCCTCCAAGATGCAGCACACACTGGAGTGGTATTGATCTTCTTGAAAAAACACATCAGACTAAAGTAGGCTCTTCTCAACTTGTTTAAACAACTCCACCACAAACAAGCCGTCAGCCTTCAAGTCATCAGAAACTGGGATAACCTAATAATCATGGAGTGTATTCGTCAAGACAAACAACAGGGTTAGTTTTGTTCTGTTTCATCAACACATCCTGACTCTGAGCTAAGACAGGAGCTGGCAGGACACTGGAGCTCAGGTAAATGTCCAAACAAACCAATCAGCTCGAGCTGATTACCTGATGAGGTCAAGAGGCTGGTATTTATACCAGATGCCCCAGCGGGCCCAGCGCTCGTACAGAAGATGCCTGTGGTTCTGGGCTCCATGTGTCTTTATAGGATGTCGGCTCTTGTAACCACCCTGATGAGACAAAGTGTAAAAAAATCAACATTACAGGAGGACATTTACAGTTTGACAATATGCAAATCTCTGTGAAAAAAATGAAAGTTGCCTTACCTCATGAGGAGGAAATGCAGCCTCGTATGTGTTGTTGCCCAATAACCGGTTGATGCCTACATAAATATTGAAGTGTGTCAAGTCAAAGGATGCACGGATAAGAGATAGAATAGCAAAAGGACACTGCATTAAAAATTCAGTAGCAGCTATCATTGAGAGAGGGGTCACGTGAGAGGTTCATTTAAATCCACTCCTCCACAGTCATAACAATTTACTCCATTATGCAACTGACAAGCTGCATTAGACAAGCACATTAGAGGCTTAAAACACTAACCAGGTTAGAGTTTCACATCACTGCAAGCAATTCAACACAACCTTTGTCATCTTTTCTGAAACATCACTACGCTATATATACACCATCATTGGTGCAAGTTGTAAAATATAATCTGAATCACGATAAACTAACTGAATCATTGCAGGTGTGAAGCAGTAATGAATTAACTCTGATTTCTACAGGACGACAGTGCATTCGTCTGCATTGTCATACTCTTTCTGAAACTGTAGATTGCGGGAGCAGGAACAGGGCAGGGATTTGCAGAGGATTTTCACCCTTGTGGGAAAGCTGATCTTATTTGTTGGAAAGTGGTCAACAGTATTAAAATATTAATGTGAAATCAATTTCCAGAGCTTCAAGTCCAAACTTTAATCAGCAAATTACGTTGGCAGTCAGACAGGACGGTACGGTGGGAGTCGACATTGTAGCATGTGCCAATACCGAAAAAGAAAACAACAGCCAGAAGGAGAGGAGGGATCAACCACAAGTTAGACGATAACAACAGCCCACAGTTTAATCATCCCACAGCAAAACATCAAACAAAGGCATCGTATCGCCCCACCATCACTCAAGTCAAACAAGGACGAGAATCTTAAAGGTCTGACGCCCCTGGTGGTTTAAGTAGAGACAATAAAATTCTATCACATAGTAAAATACAATAGAAATGAAGACAGAAGCAGAATAGCACTCAGTAGAGTGCATACAAACAAAAATGGATTCGGACCCATTGTAAATATATGTTTCAATTTGGCTTATTTGATAGTTTTAATCAAAATATAAAATATGTACATGACTTTCAGTGCAGGCCCTACAGTCCTCTTATGAAAAAAATATTTAAATTCACAAGATCCCGATTTTTATTTGGGTTGGCACCGAGTTAATTTAAATTAAATAAATATCAGTCCCCTAAAAATGGCTGATTTTCTTTAATTTTTTAAAAATCAGTCTATGATCAAAACCCATGAATTATTCTCAGTGGAAATGTTACAAAACACCCTACCACACAATGTTAATTAAAGTTTAAAACATTTCTGGAACTTCACCAAAACTGGCTGTTCTTACCTGACCCATACTGCATCCCTCCAACATGTTTCATGGTAGTCTGTCCAGTAGTTTTTATAAAATCTCTCTTATTATCAGTGTTTAATTAGCTAATTATGGGCCTGATTCTAAGTCTAATACTTACAAATCTGAAAAATCAAAATTAAACCTTTTCCCTGAAATATGAAACATGGCCCTTCATGAAATGTTATTAATATACACAGTCCCTGTCAAATAAATTAAATAATTACATAAACATAATGGGTATTTTATGTGCATTATTATAGATAAATAAATAAATCTTGTTGAAGCATGGAGCCCTACCCATCTTTGGTTTCCCGTCCTCATACTTGGTGCGTTGCAGGACATGATGGACTATTCTGCTTCTGGTGGAATTGGAGAAGAAGGTTTCTCTGTTGTTGATAGTGAAGCTGGAGAAGATAAGAACAGCATATTGTTTCAGCGGTTCATCAAGTAACAATATATCAGGATGCTCCAGTCAGGGCTCTTAATGAAAGCTGAGCCAGCAGTGATGGGATCATTACAACTCAATATGTGCCGTAAAGTTTATGTTTGCTCCCGCATCATTATTTACCAAGCAAAGGAAGAACGGAAATGCTTTGCTAACAATGAGGACATTTTTTATCAAACAGAAGCTTTGAAAGAAAAAGAAACTGAAGGGAATGGAGGAGAAATGTAAGGCTTTCAAGGACATCAGCTGCTATATTTTAATATTTAATTCATGATCAGTGTGTTCTTTTCTCTCTGGTTTCTGAGTTCATGCTGAAAGCTTTCAAATATACAAGACGTCACGGCAATTATTTCATCCACTTGTTTCTAGATTCTATATCCAGAGTTCAGGACATGAATGGATGTGAGGGATGAGAGAGAAGCTGGGGACACAGAGCAGGATGAGGATCAAACTAACACTACAGACACTGCTGTTATATGACACTTTGATCATGAGTGTGGTGCATGTCCTACTCACTGATGCGTCCGTGCTCTGCTGAACGGGGCTGTGTAGCAGTCGGTCTCCTCCAGGTCAGGCAAGGCCTGTTTGTCCAGCTTCATGGGATTTCTGGGAAGCCAGTTTTTGATCTGATGACATCTCCGATGAAACCTGCTGCACGGAGGCGCAGGGAAACAGGATTAACGGCTCAGATTAACATGAAGATAGATTTCTTTGATGTGGATCAGTGGCTCCTATAACCTTTCCCTTAATGCAACCCTGACAAACTCATCATCACTGAAGACATGTTTACACACACGCACACGTTTTTCATTTTCACTTTGTGACTCATGAGCCTGGGAGATGCAGATCCAAGGCAACAATTTCCTGAATCCAACTCGAGGGATAAGACAGTTTTTTCATTTCTTAGTCAGGATTTAAGGACCAGATGAAGATTGATGCATTGATTTCCTGAATTGTAAAATTAGAAATAAATAGAAAGAAGCTATGTTAGCAGCTGTGTGGGGCTGTATTAAGGCACAGCAGAGGTTTGAGCTAATTGATCAGCATGCTAACATGCTCATGGTGCAAACATACTGATGCTTGGAGGGCACAATGTTTACCATGTTAACATCGCATCTTGTGTTAGCATGCAAACATTTCCTAATTAACACTGAACATGAAGTAAAGCTGGGATGGTTGGGAATGCACTACATCTAATCTTCAGGTATAAACCAACATGGTGGATAAACTGAATGTAATCTGATGATGGTGCTACATGAAAAGTTAAAGGTACAGTATGTAGTTTAATTCGGTCTCTAATTCAAAACAATTAAAAAGACCTCTGACATTGTGAAGCAGTGTGGGATCATGGGAGTTGGTGTCTTCACCAACAGAGACCATATTCACATGACGGCCAATTTTCCTCTGACATCGCTCAGGCTGAGAAGCACAAATGTTGTTTGTGCAAAACCACGAGTAAAGCGCACATGTAATGTGATTTAAAGCTGACCAAAATGAAATTTCTTTGGGTTAAACATTTGGTCAAGGTTAGTAATACATGTCACCAAAATATATACCATAGGTCTTGTTCAGACAGTTGAACTGGTAAGAGATAACTAAATTGGGAAGGTCTGCACAAAATATCCTGGCATCCGATACTTCTTCAGATAAATCAGTCTGAACCACAGTGTTGGACCAAGCGACAGACTGTCACTGTCTTCCCAGGAGCCACATCCTGTGTGTGAAAATCGATTGACTTGGTATTTGCTTGCTGCTTCTGTAGATCTGCCGGAGAGGTATTGGACTTATTTGTGAAGCTGCAGCTCTGATATGGATTTTACGAATATAAATGGGAATTCTGAAGGAAATCATAGGTTTTATGAATGTTGTTGTGATGAGGACAGGTACTGTACAGAAAGTAATGATATCAAACCTGCAAGCTGCCACCACCTGCACACGACCCATTTGTTCTGCTTATACAGGGACACGACTTAGTGACAGACCATTAGTAAACGCATGAAGCCTATTTACTACTCGGGTAGATTTTCTTTACGGAATCAGCAGCTTATGGTGAAAGAGCAGCAGCAGCTCTGAGGAAAACATAATGGTTCTCATTCTTCACAATGACGAGCAATGAAGATCGCTCTCATATGAAATTTAAAAGTGGTGCTTTGTTCTCAGTTGGACAGGTGGGCGAGGGATTGTTGTGTGCGTGATTTTGTGTGCTTTGTGCGTAGGTGTGTATGTGTCCTGCGAACAAAACCATTAATATGTGTGTATATATATATATATATATATATATATATGTGTATATATATATATATATATACACATCCAATGTAAAGGTGAAATTACATATTAATCTCTGAGCTCTTGTGTTGACTACAGTATGTTTATGCATGATGTATTTATAATCGTTTATTTACACATAATAATTTTTATGGTGAAGTATGGTAAAACACCAAAACAGGCACATTTATTGCAGTTACTCTGTCAGGTTGCACTAATCCTGGCTGAATAAGCTCTGTACAGCTCAATAGGCTCTGTTCAAAACAGAGCCAGAGAATTGAAACAATAACAGTCCAACCATGTTTGCAATTTTATGGTTATAAGACCTGCAGACCTTCAACACAACTAATATCACACTTCACTGATTGATGCATATTCAGAGCTGTACAAGGGCGAATTTAAAGCTTAAACATAAACTTCCGCCATCTTTGGTTCAAACATTGTCTAAAAAACATGAATATCACGTTTAACGGCCCAGAAAACATGATTAAAAATGTGTGTTTTTCTGTAACATAAGAATTTATTTCAACAGTAAAAAATGAAAATAAATCTATCACATGATGTCCTTCACACAAAACCCAAACAGTAAAACTTTTGAACTTTTTATAGGTCCAGACAACATTCTGGCTAAATGTGTGATGATTGACTCAATGATTGGTCAAACTGAAGATACATACACCAGAAGTCTTCTAGCCCCAAAATCTTGTCCCTTGCCTACAGATTCTACATATTCACATTCAGAATCTATTTGTTGAGATAAGTTATCCACCAGGGTTGGTGTGGATGAGCGCACTAGAGGGACCGGATTCGATCCCATTGAGCAAGATACCAAACCTCAGAATACCAAACAGTGTATGAATGGTGTGATAGAAGAAACGCTGTGTAGAGGGCGCATGAATGTATGAGTGAATGCAACTTGCACTGTAAGGCACATTTATTTAGTGGTCAATAAGACTGGAAAAGTGTTATATGAACACAGCCCATTTACCATTACTGTTGTCATGGTGCATGGAAATACATGACATCACCTTTTCCCTGCCCACTTCACACATGAAATAAAGCAGAAGCAAAGCAAAAATACAGACATTCTCATGGAAAACATCCAAAATGTTGAAGCAGTCATGTTAATATCTTACTAAAATAGGCTTTTAGAACCTTTAAACCATTATGGTGTTTTAACACGGAAATTAAAATGTATATGCAGTACATGTTTTACCAAAGATTTTAGTCTATAGAGACTAAAGATGCTGCTTTTAATTTCCTTGTTGAGCTGTTTCTTTTTGCTTTCCAGTGAGAGGAAGAGATGGAAATCTGGAGTCCTTTGCAGAGCTTGGACGACGCATCAAAGCGCAAGTGCATTGCTCTAAAAATAGTATGCAAATAAGCCAAGGCAGCTCCATTTATTTCCCTGAAAAATTATCAGTATTTAATAGAAAATCTCTGTCACCGGTGGATGCTGTGCTTTTTGAAAAGGTTGAAAAGTTTAATTGAAGATATTTATTTTATAAAAAAATATGAAATTGCTTTTTAAAATTTTGGCAGAAGGAAGTACTGCACTTTTCAGAAACCTTCTTTTCCCACAAGTTGAATTACTGCTACTTATCCACACTCTAGACAGGGGGTTAATTTTCCAATCTAAAATTCTGACCCCAGACATTGTAAATACTTTATATTTACACACAGGCTGCAGACTTGATTCACTCTAGACTCAATAATAGTAAATAGGTGAGTAACCATGGACAATGATGGTTTGACACTTTCTCTATCTTTGCTATTCACTGACTCAGAGCTTCATTCTTAAAACAGAGCCTAGTCTGGCAGCTGTGCCACTCATGAAAATCACAGAAATAATAATAATCATGTAGCCTATCTTAAATCTACTCACCTGCCCAGTGTTTTGCTCTTCCAGTCTGTGAAGTAACATTTTTTCCTTAAAACAAAAAAGATGAGTTAGAGAGACTGGATGAAGCCACTGAAATAAAGTTGCCACTTTCCTCAGTTATAGGTTCAATCTTTTTCTATAGTTACTTGAAAGGCATTCTGATGTTCATCTGCTCTGCATATTTGCAAAGTGTATCCCAAGGAGCGTGAATCTTCACAAACATGATGTCGTTGTTTGTCAGCGACGGCTTTAAAGTTAAAGAGAAATACAGAGATATCAGAGATAAGTTGAGAGATGGGGTATCACATACATTTCTTAAATCTGCCAGATTTAGCCATACAGGCTTGTTGGTAAAAATCATACAAATAGACATTTGTATAAAGACACAGGAGTACACACATAGACACAAGCAAATGCACATAGCACATGGAAAGCACAAAACAGAATAATGACCATTAAAAAAAATATAGAAAGAGAAAGAAAAAACTCATACACATATTCATACCTCTTTCTCCAACATCAGGCCCTCAGCACGTAGATTCTTCTCGAACGTGCACCTTTTCTCCACCTGTGGACTGGACTTCTTGTACACCAGGATGTAGTCGATACGTTTTTTCCCATCTCGGAAGAAGAGTCCAGAGGAATGAGCGGGATTCTTTCCCTGTGGCGACAGTGATTTACCTCTGAATATTAGATGCAGATGTGTCAAACACAGAAATGCTGATGCTTGAAGCTTCTCGGGGTTCTACCATAAAATAAAAAACAGTCCCACACTATGGAGATTCATTGTATCAACTGTGGATCACTGGGAGTGTGGTACCTTAAGTGAATCCGTACGGGCCTCTAATTTAGCACGAGTGGCAGGCTTTTGTAGCAGAAATGACTCGTCCGCTCTCGTTTCACACGTAGTCACCTCTGACTCCTCTGTATAGCGATCCTTGCCATCCTCTGCGGCACACAGACACAGCACGATCAATGAGACAAACGGGGGAGGAATCCTACCTACCCTGCCTGCATTAATTCTGTTGTTGTTGCTCAAGTCAATATTTTCACTAGTCTGACTGCCAAGAGAGATCTGAGCTAAATAAAAATCCAAGCTATTTGAAACGTGTGTGCACCTTGATGCAATTCAACAGATCCATGAAACAAATAAAGTTTTGTTGAATCCACGCTGAGACAAGGAAAACAGAGAGTCCATCAATGATCATAATGAATTTCTTATACACCTGCACCATATGGATTCAGAGATAAAAGTGTTAACTGTGCTGAAAAATGATTCAAAGAAAAGCCTGATCTGGATCATGCTGTATTCTACAGAGATTAACATTAACTACAAAGAAATAATAATAATAATAAGACATAATAAGAAGAAGAAATAATAATAAGAAGAAATAATAATAATAAGAAATATTAATCATAATAATAATAACTAATAATAAACGGCTCGAGGGAAATAAACAAGAAGTCCAAAAAAAAAATCAAAGAGAATCAATAAGTAACTTTTAAATTGTGAGGTTGAGCAACAAGTACAGCCCCTCCACCACCTCAGCATCCAGCTGTAGGCTCTGCCAGGGGGGTTGAAGATGTTTGCTCATCAGTCCCCTTTATATTAATGTAATCATACCTGGGGACGAATTGGAGGCTTCAGTAAAACTGATCAATTAATAAGTACAATAACAGTAAAACATCAACATGTGTCACATCCAGCTTGATCCCAGTGAATACATCTGTCAGTGTTCACAGGTGGGAAGCTGGTGAGGGATCACGTTGTTGTCTCTCAATCTCTGCTGGTTATACTCTGCCCACACTCTGTCTCTTCCTCCTCGGGCCAAGAGGAAACAGACCTGTTCCCCCGCAGGTCGATCCTCGGCACAACAACAATTCTCAGTTCTCACCAAAATAGTAAAATCTCATCTTGTGCCACCTCATCTGCATGAACCTCCCATCTCACCTCTATAGCGTTTTCCTGTGGCACTCATACAAAAATGACCAAATACAATTGGGTCGAGCATTTCAAGGTCAGGAAAACAGCATCATGCTGAAGTGCTGCACGAGCTACTGCTTGTGCTGTGACACAAAAAGAGCCATTACTATCAATGTCCTCTGAATGGAGAATACTAAATGATTTTCCGCTTCAACTGACTTCATTTTACCAGTCCATACAGTGATGTGTTGTTTTACTTGCAACAGCATTTTCCCTATCTCACTCCCGCTGGAAGTGCACCAGACTCACTGTTTTGTAAATCTCCTGCAGCATGAACACAATCTGTGCAATCAATTTTGTGCACAAGAATGAAATGTCACTAACGTAACAGAAATCAGTGGAGCAACCAACACTGTTGTAGTTGAGCACAATATTAAAAACACAGCTGTAGAAAAAAACATCCCATAATAACATTAATAGTTTGCGTCACCTCACATCATGATGTGGATTTGCTATGAAAAGATGCATTGTAAAGAGAGTGGGAAAATAACTTGAATAGATCACGCAGGGAGTTTCAAGTTGATCACATGAATACTGCTGATGAATACATCAATGACAACACACTGATTCAGTCAGGTTTTGGTCAGTAGTGTCTGTATTCAGCATGAAAAAGAGGTGATGGGGTGGAGGTGGGTTGTGAAGTAGCTTTGCAGTGGAGGAAGAGTAAAGCAGCTTGAATAGAGGGCACAATACGAGCTCTGCCAACTGAAAACATGGGAGGGGATCAGCTGATGTGGGAGATCTGCTGCAATAAACTGGATCGAGATGGAGCTTGACTTTGTGACCTCAATTCTTTAAAGAAAGAGTGATCTTTTAATCTGCATTCCAAAGTGCCTCACATCTTTATTGTGCTTTTATCAAAAGTGTTTTTATGTGCTGTACCTTCTGTTGGTTTGTTAATGCTGCTGTAGCCCAGAAAAAGACTTGCCCCCTCATTTAAAGTGCTCATCTGGATGTGCTTATTGACCCCCCAATTAGAAAAAACATGAAAAATGTCCCTTTGTTCCACATGTGCTGGAGTTTTTAAACTTTAAAAAATATAAGAATGTTCAGCTGGTTTGGATCAAATGTCTACCACTGTTCATCTAGAGTGGATTTTCTTTGTCTTTGTACCTTTCCCTGCAGATATACCTGCAATGAAAATATACTTTAACAAAACAACATACATTAGTGTTGCCGCTCTGTCAGGACTGAAGCACCACATCCATTAATGGGTTTCAGAAGACGTCTGTAAGATCCTCTCAGGGGACTGACCTGTCTGTGGGGGGAGGAGGCTGCAGGAAGTGCTGATGCTCTGACTCAGAGCTTGGACTTCTGGTTTGGGCTCTGGGCTCAGGGGCACAGACAGGAAGTGGTTGAGGTTGATTGGATGAGTCTGACTCTGAGCCAGGCAGGGCAGGCTGCGGCGAGACGGCTTCAGGCTCTTCTCCTTCAGGATCTCGCTAATGCTGGTGTTCATGCCTGAGGACGAGAGGGAAAGTCGGGAGTAAATACCTTTTTTCATTTATATGTACAATGCTTACACCAAATGGCACTCTGTAGAGTGCGTACCTCCACCAGGGCCCCACGGTCCCCTTCAATTCAATCAAGCTAAACCAAAATTCACACACTCATAAGTATCATTTTTTATCATGATCGATGAATTATTATCTAGGAAACTGGTGAAAATGTAAAAAAATGCACCATCTTGCAATGTTAAAGAAAGTAAAAAAAGAAATTCAGCCCCTGAGCTGGATCTAAACCAAGTTTTGCGAGTTCATACCACATCCTCAACTTTTGTGTAACCTCGCCTCAAACAAACCAACAACCAAAAGGACGAGGGTAAAAACATAACTTCCTTGGTGTAAATATATTTCACAATACATTTTAGTAAGAGACACTTGCAGTAAAGGATAGACTGGGTTAAGCACTTATAAAGCTCTCAAAATAACCAAACAGCCACAACAGAAAGATTCTTATCCCTCAGTAGTCAAAAATGCTAAAGAGGAGGTTGATGAAATAGAAAATGGCGTTGTATTAAAATTTTTAGCAAGATAGTCAGGGAGAATGTTATATCTCCCTGACTATATCTTTTCATACAAAATAAAACCACAAACAAACTGCTCTGTATCAGTGTTTATTGACAAGAGGCAACACAATCCAACAAAAATAAGAATGAATGAGGTTAGAAATCTATTTACAGTATTCAACACATCAAGTGGACTAACTGACATCAAGGGAGTGATTGGGGACGGAAAGGGGGTGGAGTGTGAAGTGACACCAGTCATCAGCTGCTTCACCCTTTTACAGGCTACAGTGGTGATGATACCTTCCTCCATAGAGGAGTGGATAAAACCATCAGCACTCCTCCATCAAATTACACAGCTCAGTGCCTAAAGACAAGCAGCATGAAGTGAATCCACAAAACTAAACTAGATACTGTGCGTCTGTTGGTCCTGCAGCCTATGCAGCAAAGACACATTAAAACATTACATTACATGCAGTAGATTAGAATGCCATTATTTTATTAACACCATCTATCCATCCATTAGCTATAACACTTTGTTTGCTTATCCAAGCAAACACTGGGCGAAAGCTGGGGTACGCCATGGACAACAATGTCCACCCCATCAGCTAATCACCAGGTCAACCTATAGAGACAACCACTCGCACACAGGTAATTTGGATTCGGAGGTGAACTTAGCCGAAGCCGGTGCACCAGGAGAAACCCACGCAGCCACGGGGAGAAAATGCCAATTCCAGAGAAAGGGGATCAAACCTCAAAGGAGATCAATGACAGAACTATTTAGCTGTGAGGTCAACAGCTGCAGCACTCTGTCAACCTTATTAATACCACTAGAGGTTTTTTATAAGGTCAGTTCAGCTATAAGTAAGTTGGCGAACAAGACTGATGGATAACGCTTTAAAACAATACCACAGTGATGAATTGTAAAGAGAAACTCTGAGGTTAATAACGATAATGAATGTCCAGCAATGGAAGCATGAAAGCAGGACATTGTGCTTGACCTTCACGGCAGGCAGCGGTCTCTGCACCACAGCTCCTGACAAATTTATTCATGAAAATGAGGCTGTGTCTCTCTCTCTCTCTCTCTCTCTCTCTCTCTCTCTTTTCAAATGAGAATGTAACTTACTTTTACCTCCAGTGAGGAATTCTCCCAGTGACCTTCCTGAAACGTTTGGATGCATCGATAATTTACTCTGCAACCCGAGGGTCACACGCCGTGAGCTGCGCAATAACTCATTCTCGTGTCGTTGATCTCATAGGGATTTCCCACTTCTGTTGGGTGAGACTGGAGCTGGTTAAAGATGTGAGCTCATGGGCCCAGGGGAGCCAATTTTTTTTTTTTATCATACACCCCAAAAAAAAAAAAAAATGACAGTTGTGTGCTCTAGCTAAAAGCTAAATACTGAATAATTGAGACAGGGATACTGCTTGAAGTTAGATTTCACTCTCAAGAGACAGATTATTAATAAAATTGTTTAAGAAAAGTCTTTTAAATATACAAGTATGACAACTCAGCACAACATTCGACACAAGTTAACTTTAAATGAATCTAATGTCCATGTCAGAAAGTTAATTTGTCTTCAGGAAAATAATGGAGCCTGATTTCCCAGTGCTTTAATTATTTCTGTACACAAGTGCACATGCACTTCCTCCTCATCCCTTCATATTTCAATCAGTTTCATTAAATTCAATATTTCAAATCAATACTGAGCTGCAGGTTGTTAAGCTGTTGTTTTGTAAATTGAGGCAATTACATCCTCAATGACATTTTAGAAATCAGATATTTTATGATCCAGTGAGCAAGAGGGTCTGTTTCACTCAGCAGCAAACACAGCAACAACATGCAAACCAATATTCTGATATTAACCCAATGAGATAAAAGTCTGAATAAGACACGTCATGTAAACAGCATTTTCTGACTTAGAATAAGCAATATTCATTTTACGAATATTACGAGTATTCTGACTTTATCAATTAATCAATTATTTTGGAGAATCCCATATTCACAAATCGCTCCTCATACGGCTTTAATGTACGGTAAGATATCCTCTGCCTTTAACCCTCGGGCTACTAGGGTGAAAACAAACCACCAAAAACACCTTTTAACAGAGGGGACATAAAGAAACACAAACCTGCATGTGAGAGATCCATCTCCAGGTGTTTGATGTGTTTTCAGATGTGCTTTAGATGTGTAACAGAGCACATCAACAAAATAACAATAATATTTACAACATTCATGAGAAAAGACAGTGCCTAACATAAGGAGAGATGAGGAGAGCAGCAGTGACAGTTGTAATAATAGTGGTATTAGTCACATTATGTAGAAATATATGTATACGTCTTAATCACAATATAAGGTATCTTTTGGAGTTTTCACAGCAATTTGCGAAAACAACATATGAGACTTACGTACTGCTTGATAATGCGTGCCCTTGTTTTGTGTATAAAATAGGATGTAATGTTCACATGGGTTGTACATAATCAGACTATGGTAACATTCATTTAACATGAAAATGGAAATATCCTATTAGTAACTCATGTAAACATCATAATCAGAATGTCATAGTTTCAAAATAAGTCAGAATATTTGCTTTCCATGCATAGTCAGTGTGAGCTATGAGCTTCCACTCAGAAGCCTTATGTGCCATAATCCCAATGTTGATGCATGTTTACTTAATAAAGAACCCTGCACACAGAAAATGGTTACTGCACATAGGAGCCCTGTGCTTTGTCAAAAAAGTATATTTATTAGACTCTAGGTGAGTTAGATAGTCCCAATAGACATGGGCAAGGCTCAACCTGCCTGAGCACAGCAAGCTATTAGGCCTGTAGGGGTGAGGCTCGGTGGTCCCAAAGGACACTCAAAGTTTAAAATAGATCCACAAAATCGGACTGAGTTGTGTCTTCATGGAAATATCAGAGCATATGAAGATGAAAAGAAAAATGATCTGGTCAAATCTCTCAGACCCTGTGGATCTGAAATATATAATCATTGTTATCTGACAATCACTGCCCTGCTCCAAAGCTTCATTTTAACTCACAGTCAGAGTCAGACTCGTTGTGTAAGTCTATATAAATATATAAAGGGTTCCTCTAATTTGAAATCCTGTGTTTAATCTCACTGTGTGCTGGCTAAAACTGGTTTATCAGGAGAAAGTTAATCCTGTGTGTGTGTGTGTGCGCGGACCGTGCTACATGTGCACGAGAGTGGGCTGTAACAGCGTGTGTGTGTGTGTGTGTGTGTGTGTGTGTGTGTGTGTGTGTGTGTGTGTGTCGTGCACAAGGAGCAGGAATGAAGTGACAAATTAAGAAAGAGAGACATCTTGAGGACCAGGGAGTGGAGGCTGGATTTGAGGTGATGCAGAGGGAAACAACATCTCTGAACTGTCTCAGTATCAGCAGGACTATCCACTTGACGTCAATCGTGTGCGCGCTCTCGCAAACACCCACTCGGGCGCAGCCGAGGGGGAGCTGGACGAGCTTCAGGGAAGGTCGTGATCTGGGATTTGAATCTCTCCTGTGCAGCTTGACCATGATGGTCTTGTGATGAGGGATTAAAATGTTTTTTTTTCTCTGTCTGTGCATGTGTGTGTGCGGGCATGCAATTTGTGTTGTACAGTATAAGCCACTGAGACGTTTTACTTTGTGTTGATGACAAACATAAAGTCGCAGAACAGTGGTTGTGTGTGTCAGGTCCCTGTGCTCCTCTTGAAAAATGAGCAGTGTCACAGAAGTACTCCTCTGTGTGTCTGTGTGCCTCCGCAGCCAATCTACACCGAGCCAGCAAGAAGAACAAACGCACCATTCCCCAAAAATGTTTTATGATCAATTAAAAGCTGTCAGACGGTGGAGGAAGCAAAACAAGTGATGATGAGATTTACTTTCCAAGAGAAACATACTTTGCATGATGTTTTTCCGCTAACCATTAATCACTGAGAGACCTGAGTAGAAAATGGGGCCTGCGTTATTAGATTATGTGCAAGGATTTTGCACAAAGTACCGAACAGAGAATTCAGGTCAGTAGGCTGTTTCCCATCATGCCTCGATGTTCCCTCATTCTATACCTTCAATAATTCATCCACTCTCAGCCCATAGCACTTTCAGAGTCACAGCTTTTAACCAGGGAACATTCTGCATCAGGACATTTTTAAGCACAACACACATCACCATTGTTTTATATTACAGGGTGCGTTTCAGGAGATCACTGCTTTAAAGCAACGGCAACAAAGTAAAAAAGAGAAACACGCACAGTGAAGCTCTTAAAAAGCTCTGTGACGGTGTGCTTTAAAAACTGATAAGGTGTAGGCAGGACTGAGGCGAGGCCGGCAGCCTCCCCGACAGAAACGTTCTCCCAGCAATTAAGAGAGTGTTTCATCCTCTGCCTGGCACCATATCAAAGAACACATATACAGAGCTGAGTTCACAGGGAGGATTTGGAAGAGTGTCATTGTCTGCC